TGCCAGAAAATTGTCTGTGCAGGTCCACGTTTTCGAATAGCCCCCATATAACGGTACCCCCCATATTCGGTATTTTAATGATTTTAACTTCATTAAAAACAGATTTTTCTTCAAGTTTCACATTTAAATTATTGTAACAACTTATGACAAAATATGCCTATGCAGGCCCACGTCGTCGTATAAGCACTCGGTATTCTTAAGATTTTAACAGAATTTTTAACGGATTTTATTTTTTGGAAATTGCCAAATTTGTACCAAATGGTGGAGGGTATTAAAAGTTCGGCCCGGCCGAACTTACAGCTTTTTTACTTGTTTATATTTATATCTGTTTTCATAACCACTCGCCAAAAATCATATTTGGATCAAAAAAATGGCTGATATATTTGAAGAATTTAATAAGATATAATTTATTTTGGAAGAAAATTGATAACACGAATGACGTTAAAAAATATTTAAGGGGCCATTTTTCAAAAAGTTTTATTAAATTACAGACAGTAGCTATGTGTATTGAGATAATGGTTTAAGGAAAAATATATATAAGTAGCCCGCCAAAAAACAGTCATTTTTATAGATATCAGTATCGAAATGGACCTGAAAATATCTTTTATGTGAGCTAATCGAAACACACAAATAGTCCATGTTCGATCCTTGTCACATCTTTTTCTGAGATCAAAATTAAATATTCAAAAGTGCCGAAGTGTGTATTCGATATAACTCAAACATTCCACCGATAAATCTATAAAGTTCTATGCAACAAATATAAGGAGTTCCCTCCCCATCGGCTACTCGAAAAAATTTAAATATTCTACCAAAACCATTTTGACAGAAAATTTAACACAGATATCTCAAGGGACTCTCTCTGCCTAGCCTCGATGTAAAGTTTGCGCTTTGAAACTTCGTATTTGAAAAGCGAGACCTCCGAATATGTAAGTGGGGATTCTGTTCAGGTTGTATGTAACAAAAATTCGAAGAAGACATTTGCTATGAGATATGTTGCGATAGATTTCTTTTTGGGCCCTGTTGCTCATGAGCAGAACCCAATATGATTTTTGCAGCGACTATTGCTCATATTTGGAATGACATTTCGTCGGTCAACGTCGAATAGGATTCTTTGTGGAATGTATGGTCTCTCTATCTAGATACTTTGTATATCTATTTCTATTTTTCTGGAGGGGTAATACCGCAAATAAGGTTTTCGGTATCAAATATTATATGTATGTGACCACTTATTTATGGGGAAGTAATAGTGGAAAGTGTGGGAAGTGTTACAAACAGTTATTCCGATGAGGAACTTCTTGGCTGTATCAATTAACTCATACCCTCTGAAGCCATAAGGCTGAGAAGATTCTAGACACGGTGCTTCTAATTTGTTTTAATGTGATTGACAATTATTTTACCTCTCTAATGATGTACATATTCCATTATTCGGTAACGGCTCCCATAGCCACAAAATCAGTTCAAAATCAGAGCTATTTGTTTGGCGTGTCCGATTAATTTATGGTAAATACTTCATACATATACCCGAGTTTTAAATATGATCAGTGGCTCCAACGAAATCCCTACGATGTTCAGGTTAAATGTGCAGTATCACATCCAATACCTTAAATACTATGTTAAATCGAATAACCTCCTCAATATGGTAAGACTTGTCGATGGCGTTATTTGGCGGGGTTGCAGGAGACATTGCGTTTGGGGAATGTTGCTGAAATCTGGCATGTGGAACTCCTCGTGGATGAGGAATGATTTCAGGTGTCTGCGGTGGTAGAACAAGGATGTCAGTCTTATGTGAATCTGTAAGCGCTGCTTCATTGTTGTGGTAGATAGAGTCCTTATTGATATTGAGGTGCTGACGATGGCAAAGGATATTTTTCGATTATTCGTAAAGCAACCACGATCAAACAGACACACACACCCATACATACGTTGGTTGAAGCGGCGCACACATATCACCCTGACCGACAAGTTGCACATGTTCCTGTCGATGGATTGCCGGATCATGGTCATGGCGCTTCTTAGTCTGGCAATGTTTTATGGCCATCCCATGAATTTCATTGTTTACTTTTCACCTAAATCGCCGAGCGCCTTGCTCTGCGTTCATTGTTTACGGCGCAGTGTTTTCCTTGGCATGTCAGCGATTTTCTTCGGATCGGACGGCTGTGCGGTTCTATTTTGATAGAGCAAGTGTTTTCGATCACCATCGTCAGCGCTTACCTGCTATTTCGCCTGCAATCGCTTGCCATAAGGATTTTACGACACCAACGTGAACATTCGACCGTCCAGGTAGGCGATCATTCATTCGAGCGTTCGAGTCCTTGGAATTTTCACGGAAACTTCGCACCTCGGCCATTGTTTTGTGCGGCGGTGCTGCATTCTGTTCATCAATTACTTTCCTTCCCGCAGCGATTTCAAGTGTTGTTTATTGTTCGACGTCATAGGGATTTTTACGCCTTCAAGAATTGGTACCGTCATAAAAATTTCAAGTGGTTATTAAGTAAAATCCATTGTAATCCTAGCTCTGCAATGATCTTGGCGGTGTGTGTGTGCGTTTCTGTGTGCGAGTTGTTGTCCCACCATTCGGACAATGGCCATATAACCATTTTATTATGTTGTCGCCCTGAATCTTTTGTCTTCTCAAGTGGTTCTATTTATTGCCCTCCACCCCGGGCTCTAAGTTGGAATTGTATTGCTGTTATTGCGCTTTTAGTACGGCCGATCCGGCCATCTGAGACAATAGCAGAGGGTGTTGAAGTTGTTGTTGTGGCCTGTTTCAAATAGTGTCATACCTAGAATTGCAACCAACGACAGATAGAGATCCTTCGGTGCGCTGGTGGTGGTGCTGCTGCTGCTGTTGTTGTTGCCCTAGTATGGCATTCGTGTGTGTGCTAGGATACACGATTATTTGCAGCCACTTGAGATTTTGCGTGTCACTCACAGCATGAGGAGGTGTGCAAATTGAGCAAAGGTGGAAATTCTAACAATGCTGGAAATTCTTCGGCTCGTATTAATGAAACATCCGTTTATCATTGATATCCAATTGCAAATATCCAACTAATTTTAATCTTGACCAAAAAGGAAGTCAAATGTGATCGGAATTCCCCTTGGTAGAACGTAGACTCGTGGACGTTTGGATTTTTCCACCGGCTTTAGTCAGTGTGCTGATTGTTTACAAAACAAACAGACCAGCTAGGAAAATCCTCGATCAGTCAGTGAGTGATCTCTGAACGGAGGTTACGGGTTTCTCCAAAGAGTCTGTTCTTTATTCTACAATTAGACATTTGGTAGGCCAATGGATAAGAACCCCAAATTTCTATAGCCGTTTCCCATAAAAATAACTATACATAAATGTGGATTATTTTGGAATATGTCCGACGAATTTTCCTTTCCAAATAGAATATATATATATATATATATATATATATATATATATATATATATATATATATATATATATATATATATATATATATATATATATATATATATATATCGTACCAGTACCTCCCGACATTCGCTATAGAGACCATTCAAGTCTAACGGAATTGTTTTAAATGTTGTACATAGAGTTCGTAATGGGGTCCACCTCCTGCGCTAGATCTTTGTCTGATAGGTACACGTCTTCCTGTTGCCCCTATGTTGTCTTATATTCCCCAAATAGCAGAAACTCCGAATATTTGATATCCTCATTTTCAGGAATAAAACTGTTTCAAATTTGGAATTTGAATCTCGCAATAGATAAAAATTTCTGTGGCAATAAATAGCCTATGCAGCTTCTTCTTTTAGTGCAGCCCGGATATAACAGTACCACCCAGTTTAAGTAATTTTGAAAATCTTTACTGCAACCTCCAATCGATCTTACCAATTCCGATACTTTAATCTTTATTGGGTTTTTTTACCTTATGATGAAAGTAGAGGGAAAATACCGACTGCCTTATTTGGGCTATACTCCCTCGGATATTTACTAGAAGAGCCTACCAGAACAATTTTGCTGTCGTTATCGAATGCATATAATGACTTTATTTCGGCTAAAATGTGAAATCGGGTGGAACATATGAATCGGTTTCGATGCATTTCAAACGCAATTTGGGAGGTGCAACTAGCAAAAAACTAACTGTATATGAGAGTTATCATTGGCTCTCTTTGGACGAAATCCGTTTCACCTAGCGATGTTCGTCCGAAACTTTAGCCCTCAAAGGGATAGCTCGATTTCGTCTAAATTTGGTACATCGCAACATCTCTATTAAACTAAACATTTCCAAAGGAACTAATTAACCTTATAAGAGCTACATTTTCAAAAATTAAAGGCCTCTTCCAGAACTGCAAGAATGTAAACGTTATTTCCTTTCTGATATCGAAAACAATTGCAAAACTAGGATATGCATAATTTAATACGAAATGTAATTATGTGGAGATCGTCACAAGGAACAATGCATTTGCATGTAACAGATAGATGTAGAAACTCAATATAATGTATTAAGGTCGCTTAGGCTGTAAAAAAATTGTGCTGCCTTTAGGTCAGGCATGGAGATACCGCCCAATGAAGGCCCCGAAATGGTAGGGTTGCTCAAACGTGTGCAATAAGTAAGGTAATACTACAAGCGTTGGGAAATTAGGTACTATTAAAAACATGGATAATGGCAACACTGTTCATTGTCAATATTCTAAGCGAATCTGAGATCTTTCACACATGGTTTAGTAATCGTCTCTCTTTATGAGATTGGATCTCACTCACCTCAATGCACACACACACACTCACACAGACACACAATGAATTGGGGAGCACTCTGGTTGTTTACGACTTTTGTTTTTCTCAGCATTCGGATTGTGGGCGACAACAGAGTGAACGCCACACTAGCAGATGCTCTTCACCTCTCAAGCTATATGGGTATATTTATTGAGAAACCGCCGACTGACGTACGGGTTGAGTAAGTGAGTGGCTAACTTGACCGTAAATAAAAATATAGTTCTCGATACATGATTTCATGCGATGGTTCTCAGTTTGCTCGAAAGCTTCGTAGAATAATGTCGTGAGTGATTGAAAAACTAAGTCGGCCGTATCGCTTTGTTTGCATTTTGACTGTGTGTAGAATCCGACAGAAAAGGGGAACAAAAGAGAACAAGAAATATTCACAAATGTGTAAGGCAAAACAAACAGATCAGACAGAAGTGAAAAAAAAGTAAAATACGAAATAAATTTTGACCTAATATGCATAAAGTACTTATCCGAATCTGTCTGTTGAATCGGTAGGAAGCAGCAAAACAACAACAACAACCCACATAGAGTTGAATCGAATCTGTATACCTGGCTAGTACGGAATAGTGCTTCAATGTTCAATATTAGACTTGCAATATAATTCATAGGTTATTATAGCTTATTATTCTGACAATCGCTTGTTTGGCGAGGAGAAATGTCGAAACTAGGAAAACGCAACGCAGCACTTTGATCGATCGATTGCATAGCTCGATCGACCGTCCCCGTCGCTGGGTTACATTCTCAAGCGTGGTATTGGACATTTTTCAAATTTCGTTCGTAAATATGAAATTTCTGTTTATCTCCAATTTCTTGCACCGATACAAAACTGAGCAGCAGCAACAACAACAACGAATAACACATACGGGGAATATGACGGCACTATATGCCGATATGCGACACTCACTCGATGTTGATGAAATCGTAGGCAGAGGCAGACGCTTTGAAAACAACATTCTTGCTACGAATGAATATAAACGAACTACAGATAGGTACTACTCAAGTCCACATACAAACAAACACATCGGTATGCATAGATACACCAATACTCACACACACACACACACGGCTATGCATACAGATACCCGAGTGTACGGGTAAAGTATCGCATGGATGAATTGAAATTTAAGATTTACTCACAGATTGTGTAGTGTGCTTTTAATAAAAAAACAACAACATCAACAAAGTTGTAGTTCTTTCAAGTCGTCTACATATATATAGGTTCATGCTATGTATGTATATATAACAAGATGTGTGTGTGCATGTTCAAAAAGCATACTTATGTATGTATTTGAGTCTGTGTAGTCGGGCTTAGAAGTGTGGCCACCCTTTATAAATCTGTGCTGTTCGAAGCTAAGGGCGTTTTTTTTATTTAATCATGGTCACTGATCTCTTCGGGCGGCCTGACATGTGCTTGAGGGTCAGGTATTAGTTTGTTGTGAAGTTTTCGATCACAACTAGAAATATATACTAGACCTACCTACAAAGATTTGTGAAAGAACTTAATAACTTCTACCTCAAGATATAATGTAAAATTTAATTTCATCGATCTTGGCCTTGTTCTAGACAAAGCGACGTCCATAAATACACAACCGGCCTAGCATCTGAAATACTGTCAATATTAACATCATATCACGGAAGTGACGTAGAAGTCCCGCCTGGGCGATAGAAATAATCGCGGATGATATTGCTTTTTCATCACGTAACTTATATCTTTCGGAAATAAATTAATGACGACCGCAATAGTTTTGAGAGTAACTAAATAGTATCTGCAGCATTACTGCTAATAATTACAAGGAAGTCAGTGCAGTGGCACTTATCGGAAGTAACAAATATTTTTATTTTTGTATATTTTTTATTGTTACCGTTATTGTAAATATCGATCTTGCATATTCCTGCTCGAATTCTATTTTGTTGACGTCTTAAAAAAAGACTCCAACAAATTCAACACACATTAGACCCACTGTATCAGACAGATATATGTATATTTACATCTCGGTATGGTCTGTAGAATTAATTGGATGGCTGGCTTGTTGTCTGTCTGTCTGTCTGTGTTTTTTTTTTCTCTATCTTATTTTTATCCATATTCGCCATTAGCTGTATACGCAAGAGTAGTAGTCGGTCGTAGTAGTCTATTTGGCCTTGTCGCGATAAATGTAAACATTTAGCTAAACAATGTTGTCCAACGCAAGAAGCCAACAACATAACACCATAAATAAGAAGAAATATGTAGTGTAGGAACGAAAAACCAGAAGAGCAGAGAAAACCGATATAACAAAAAAAAACTTGATGCGTACAACTTCTACGTTTACTACGCCACTACTACCACATCGCGTAATTCGATAATCCACGTCGACCGAGGCGGTCGGTCGGTGGACAAAGATGGTGGAATGGTGTTCTTCAAGTCGAAAGTAAGTCCAAGCACGTCTCACACAGTCGTTGGTTTCTCGCGGTCATGCGTGCCTCAGCACTGATTCCGCACTCGTCGTCAGTCGTCACTCATGTCTGTATTTTTGTTTTGTTTCATTTGATGGACAGCCAGACATTCATATGTCTGTATGTATGTATGTAAATTCTATGTATAGAAATAATACAGTATAATTATACATATTCATACAAAACAATGATCGACCAAATATTAGACTGACTCGCAGCCTACATTAAATGAAGTTAACTATAACAAAATCGTCTGATTTAAAGACTCGGTTTTGAATATTTCAATATTGATGGCAGTTTAGAAATGTTAAGTATTGACATAAGAGTACATTAAACTCTGTGGTTTTCAGAAAAGCACCAAATGTCGACATAGTTCCGCTTTCAGTTATTGGCATCACAGAGCTCTAAACAGCGAAACTCCCGTTGGGAAAAATATAAACAGCTCCTCAACTAACTTTGATTTAAAAAAGGCTAACTCCTCCTCCTTTTTAAACGTCCTTTAGATTAAAAAGTCTGGTTGTGATTTTAAGTTGTTAGTAGATTAAAAACTTGTTGGAAAAACTTGTGTTTTTTGTAGACAAAAGAGATTACTCGACGCTATATTTGGTAAATTGTCTTAAAATACTGCTCGATTGTTTTACCTTGTAGTTATTACTCCATGAATATTATGTTCCCAAGCGGATTTTCGAGGCGTTTCAAAATGTATCACAAAACTACATACCTAGATACTGTCCTTCCGATTTTACAGCGTATCATTATTTACTCTCATAGTTTGGCCCAAACAAAAATTTCAGGCCCATTTCCGACCCACGTTATTGTACCCAGACCTCTGTGAAAGAAACAAAAGTGACGCACAATCTAAAGATATGCATCGTGTTGTAGATCCAGATTCGTTAATGTTGTCGAGAATGTGTATTTTATCGCGCTTCAAATACTCTTGAATATAGCAAATGGAATCAGTACGGTTTCGCTCTCTTTTTTAATCTTTAAATAGCCGGTCAACAGAAAGCATTTGCTGCCAGACATTGCAGCAGACCGAAACGATAAGACCATAGTATTTTACGCAAATTTCTGTCAATAAAAAATGCGGTTGCACAGTTTGTCAAATAAATGTTGGTACACTGCAAATTATCGTCGTACGTCCTATTTAAAGTAGAATGACATTGCATTTCGAATAGTCTCGTAGTGCAAGAAAGCAATTTGTCTCTTTCAAATCTTTCAAACGAACAGAAATCCACAAAATATTACAATTCTTGCTTGATTTTGATTCATTATTATACACCTAGTCATAAAATGGTTGATAAACAAGCAGCGAATGAGCCCTAATAGTTTTTGCTGATCGATTTTTTTTTAATTCTTCTATTCCTCTTGCCTCTCTTTCACTGTTCTACAAACACAGAATTACCGAAAATAGCATTCCCTAATATAAATTCGGACTATGTTTACTTGCGGTAAGAATTTCTCTCTTGAGCTTTCCTCAGGCATTTATATGTGCAAGGCAATTCGATTTGAAAATCTTCATTTTCCAAATGTAAGCCTTTTTGAGAATCCATCACCAAATTTCACCAACAATTAAGAACGAACATGATTCCCTAGAAATACAGGCATTTTATGTTAATAGACGATAAAGGAGCTGGTAAAAAAAAACGAATAGAGATGTCCACCGATTTCACGTATCTTGAGGACCATCAACAACATCTTTCCGTCCTTAGTTCTCATATAAGGATACCGCATAGACAGTCCAGTCCTTAAAAATATTTATTTCTTCGTTTTCAATAGATCCCGCAGTGCCCAGGAAAACCAACCAACATAAAAATGTATAAAAAAACTCAGGACCATACATGTTTAATTTTCGACATCTGAAAAATCTGCAATTTCTAAATCAAACATTTCCACGTGCAGGTCGTAGCGTGCATGTTCGAAGTCTGTGTGTGCTCATGTGCGTAAATAAGTTCACAGAAGAATCTCCTTGAGAACAGACCAACAATAATCTCAAAACAAAAAAAAAACAATCTAAATGAAAACTATTCGATACTGTTCTGTGGTAGTGGTAGCTGTGGAATGCTGGAGCCCGGGCATGGCTTATAAATTGTAGGCAATAAAACTTCAATCAATCTATCCATGCAGCTCAACAATCCATCCAGCCAGCCAGCCAGCTAACACACATTCCTACACCCGTACTTATGGTGCTGAACAAAAACAAAAACCAGTATGACAAGAACTGGTACCTGTTTCTGTGGTATGTTCGCACCAATGCTAGTGTCTATCCACCGATCCTCCATCCAACCGAACAACCATCCCGCAAACAGATCGAAAGTTTTATGTAATGCGTGTTTTGATGTTGTTGCCCAGTGAGATAAATAAAAACGTCGGGATCGACCGACGAGACCGAAAGACGCAGAACAGCGTAAACGAACAGAAATGTCGTTGTTGGTGTGTGGAACGTTTGCTCGGCAACGGCTGTGTTTAGGATTTGGTCGGTCGGTGTATGTTCGATCAAACACAGATACAGCATATTTGAGCAGACGATCTTGAAAATGCAAAGGTACTTGTAAAACACAGATTTAATTTATATCTGACTTGGACTAGCATTTAGGTACCCCCAATGTTGGATGCTTTTTCCAAAGTTTGGTCATGAATCTATATGAAATTTCTTTCTTTCAAATCGGGAGTAGAGACTAGCCAAGAAGAACTATATTATTTACACACTCCTACACTATACATAGGTATGTACATATATAGGTATAACTATGTGGTCACGATAGGTACTAAATATATGCACATTAGGCACCCTTACATCATAGATGAACAGTAACAAATACATATCTAGGAAGCTAGAGAGGAGTGCTTATTCGTTGACTGAAATTTGATTTTTTTGATGATCGATATGTCATTCACAGCGACGCACTAACTATCCTCCTCTCACCTCCACGACCAATAAGGACATTTGGGTCTGTGTCGACTTGGATGCGTTTTCGGGTTGGTCTTGCTTTTGTAGCACAGTGTTGTTTATAATGTAGGAGAGCAAAGCGTCAATCGGCTCGTAGTTTGTTTTAGGACCTGTCTGTCGGTGCCTGTGCCTGTGCCTGTGAGTGTGGGTATCTGTGTTCAAACAACATGTTTGTAATTTGTCCGTCGACGTACACTTCAGATGTGTTGGCAATCTCATGTAGAATGAACCAAGCACACAAGAGAATCGTACAATGTGTGCTGCTGCTGTTTTGTTATTGTTGTTTCAGTTCGTTGCGTTGGGCTGTGTTAGACCAGACGGACGGACGGGTGGACAGACGATTCGTTGGTAATCTATATTATGTCTGTCGTTGAGATCTTCTTGTTAGTGTGAGTTCAGTAATCAAAGCGAGCGGTAGTTAGTCAAGTGGAAGAGTCCATCTAAGCAACAGCTAAACTAGCGTAGCGCACCGATCTGCTCAGTGACGGTTTGAAAAGTCCGACGAATGCGATGATCGTAATAATAAAACAAATTAATAGACGGTCGCCAGTGCACTGTGACGTGCGAGAATAAATTTCAAATACTTAATTGATCACAACTATTTTTGGATTGAACACTAATCGAATGAATTACTTTGAACGAACGAAGAAAAGCCAAATAGCCGTGTTTCCTCCCATATACCTGTCTATATCCACAAAAACTGTGATTTATTTAATCTGTGTGTGGTTGTGCTTCTTACTTTTTTCGAAATAAAATAAACAAATTGATTTAATCGGTACAAAGGCCTAACAAAGTTTTGGCGATTTTAGTGAAATAAACAATTTTGGAATTAAACAACAAAAAAAAAACAGATTTCAAAAAAAAAATATTGTATTAACCCACAGTCGGACCTTGCATAGCATGTCCAATGATGAACTTCAGAGATTCATTTTACTGAATTCCGAACTTAAATACCTGTGGAACCAATACAACGTGCAACGACACCAAACAACACATATACCAAAGGAAGTGCAACCAAATCCGCATGATGCCAACAATAATAACAACAGAATAACACCAACATCTGAGAGGATCACCAGTCCAGGATCGAACAGCACGCCATATAATTCCAGAAGGATACACAACTTGAGACGGTCATTCTCTGGATCTGATTCCCAGTCATCCGAATCGACATCGATTGACATTTTAGGCATCGAGGACTGTGGTGACAATATTATGTCACCGGTAAGCATTCCATCTTCACAGACATCTTTACTCCCATCGGAACCCAGATTGACATCGTTGCCGCAGCATCTACACTCCGCACAAACAATGGAACTGACCGCAGCCAATGTACCATCGGGGTTTCCCCTCAACTACCAGCAACTGTACGCCAGTAACGCAGCTCTGTATGGAGCGCCGGTTATGTTCTCGGGGGCCTTACACGCCGCCCATGCCTCCTACATGGCTGGACTGCCCATGCATGCCGCTTTACCACCGAATGAATCCTATCTGAAAGCCATACAGGCAGCAGCGTGCGGTTTATATAATCCGGCGGGGCTACCGCACCCCATGACGAACCCCAATGTAATGTCGTGTAAGGCCGCCAATATGCACAATCCGGCGACACCTATGATGGCGCTGGCGCCATCTGCACCCATTACAATGCCCCCCAAGTCGCCACAGTACACAAACGTCAACGACAACCATATCAGTAAACCGGAATCGGAACAACACCATTTCGCGACATCGTTAAATGGATCCGGGTCGGTGAGATTAGGCAATGCCAGCTCAACAAACGGTACCTACTTAAACGAAAAAGTGAATGAGTCTGGCAGTGATGCGGCGAATGACTCGCATTTCAAGGTGCCCAATGGGAAAGAGGGAACCCTAAAACACCGCATACTTAAACCTTCAAGCAGCGAAGGTTCCGATGCCACCAAAACCCCTGTTATGAGGTATGTAAATTAGACCATATTGGTAGAACTTAGGAACTATAGACTAATGTTTGCATTGGCGTTTCTTCAGGACTTACACCACTACTTCAAACTTCAAGAAGGGTACTTACATCGAACTCGCCAATGGTGCTCTCAGGCGTGTGGAAGATATGCGTACCGAAGACTTCATTCAATGTGCTGACCGTAGTCCGCAACATCAACTTGCGGAATCGACTGTTGTCAAAATAAGCACATCGTCGCAGCAGCCGGTGGCTATAATAACATTCAGTTACGACAGGAACCGTTCAAAGGTACGAAAAACTTTTCTTCTGAATGCATCTCGAACAAATTAAGCTGACAATTTTACTCTTTTCCCTTTTTCAGGTGGATATGGAAGTTTCTGTGGATCATCCGTTTTTCGTTTATGGCCAAGGCTGGGCGTCCTGCAATCCAGAAATGTCAATGCAGGTGTTCGGACTCAAGTGCCAGAGGCTGCAAGTAGGCGATATTTGCATTTCATTAACGAAGCGTACCACCGAAGTTCCTCCCAACTCCCAACGGCGACATTCCCTGTCATCGGTGTCAAATAATCCCAATGTCAACTCAAATACCTCACCAATGCAACCGTCAACAATGAGTTCTACATCGGAGCTATCGTACCCACCGCACTTAAATGCTAATGCATTCTCAATGGCAGGTCCACCTAATCTCCCCCACCCGCTGCCTTCCTATGCGGAAATGGCCAAACTCATGTCGTCGTATGCATATGCTAAAGGTCTACCGCAAATTTCCCCCGAGCAATTAAAAGAAGTTGTCATGGATGCTAGCATGCTGCAGAGTCTTTCACCGAAGATGGTCAATGCCGCGTTCTATCAAAACCAAATTTATCAATACGCCCAACAACAGCAGGAGCTATTGAGGCGCAATGATTTTAAATACAGTCAGGAGCGATCATCGCCATTGCGCCCAGCATCAGGGCACGACGTTGACACTAACCAGCCTGCGACCCACACGCCACTGCAAACCCAACCCCTTGATGCGTCCATTTCGCGAAAACGCCGCTGGTCAGCTCCAGAAAATATGTTCGACGACGAAGACGCCGATACTCAGCCTTCAAGAAACCCCCACCTGCCGTCTTCATTGGGTACATTGTCGCCAGCGACCACTGCCCGGACATAAGCGTGTCGTATTTACGCCAACACCAATCCATCGAAATGCAAACACTCGCACATCCTTTAATGATCTCAAATACTCATGAAAGAAAGTGTATCGCTCGAATCGGCGAAGGTCCCGCATCGAACGCAAATTTGCCACTTGAAATGCGGCACTTTTTTGATTAGCACATCAAAAGCTAACGATCTGTAACGACTCAAGTCTATTCGGCCAACAATTGCCCTGACCTTAGCCGCCTCGGTAGCAATAGCGAGCCTGCAACAACTAAACTCCCAGCCATATTACAATACACAAACAACGATATTCCTAAGTTTAGTCTAAGCAATTATATGCAACAACGACTTCATAAAATGTTTTATAAAGTCATTTTTTACAAATTGCCACTACTGCGAAGATAGCGCACGTGTGCATGTCTATATGTATGTGTGTGTGTACTATATTCCAATTGTTCCACACGATTCTCAAAAATAGACGTTCCGAAATCCCAAACTTGATAGTATTGCAGACATATCCATACATATGTATGTATATACCGTAACGTCTATGTAGTCAAATTATTTACACTTCGAAATCAGGGTGCATACGATAATTATTTTGTAAATATGTAAATTTATCTATTTGTAAATTGTAACAATGTTCGTAAATAAATCATAGATGTGTAACATATTTTTTACAAGAAAAAAATCACTGCTTTGCTTACACATTAAAGTGTAGAAGTCACGACACGGGTCTATTTGACAAGATAACGAGGACCGTATAATATTGCGGTTCATTTCATTGAATTATAATATACAAAAACAGAGCTAAGCTCGGTCGGGCTGAACTTTTATTACCCGCCATCATTTGAAATTGCATAGTTCCAAAAAAATCTTCTGAAATACATAGTAACAATAATGCCGCTAAAATTATTAAAATATCAAATATCGTATGGTGTACCTATAGAGGGGGTGGTCTATACGAAAACGTGGAATTGTGTAACCAATTACCTGGCAGGGAAGTCGGTACAATTTTATTAGGGCTATCGAAAAAATGGGCCTATGTAGAGAATTTGCTATAAGGGAAGATAGTCCAACACCAAATACCAATTTTGAAATAATCTCAATAAAATCATCATCATGGGGGCTATACGAAGACGAGGACCTGCTTACAGAACTAATGAGGATTGGTGGCTCTTTCCGAAACCTAGGTATTCCCTGCCTTACCCCCGGTAAACATTACCATCTTTCTCCACTAATAAACGTCGCTTTTATAAAAACAACAAGAATGGGATAAGGCCTAACTATTTTGCAATAATAAAATACCATGGTATCCCGAACAAACATGCCAACACTGTTCTTTTAATAGATAAAAGCACGTCGACGAAGGGTTTTTGTTGTAACAGGAAAAAATAACTTACATGGTTATGCTATTTCGTTCATGTAAAACGAAAGCATAACATGTGGAGAGCTTACGATCTCGTCACTTGGGTAAAAAAGTTTTTTGTCATAGAAGTTATTTTTAAAATAACTCTTGGGGAGAATATCCCAGACAAAAACAAGGGAACTGGTGAGTATTTGAGAACCTAGGTATTCCCACCCTTACCCCTGGTAAACATTACCATCTTTCTTCACTAATAACACAACAATAAAATACTATGATATAACGAGCAAACATTCCAACACTGTTCTAAAATTATTGATTTTAAAGATTCCCCAAAAATCAAAAATGACCCCATTTTGGAAGTCGACAAAAAATATACAAATTATGTAAATATAGCTTACACTTTAACCTTTACAAATTTCTGCAATTTGCGCTTTTATGTTTCCAGGATCCAGATATATGAATCTTTAAACCCGGACTACCTGATTGTGTCTATCCTGGGTGGTGGGCCCGAACTTTAGAGTAAAATGTCGGGCATCCGGTCCGTCCTCCAAGAAAAATACTCTTCAGGAATCAGGGTACAAATACCTATCTCTGGAAAAAAAACCGCAAGATTTTACTAAACTAGAGTAAAGCCGCATAATCCCCGTGTAACGGCACCTGTGATTTCAGGTATTTTGAAGGTTTTGGAAGAATTTTCGAGACGATATAAAACCTTTTGTAACAAGTGTTGTATGATCCGCATATTGCAGCACCTCTTGATATTCGGTATTCCACCTACTGTAGTCCCAACAAATTTGAATTTCTCTACAAACTTCCTTTGATGTTGTTGGGCGTATGGTTGGTTGATTGTCGTCTCTCGAGCGTGGAAAACCATGGCACAATAAAAAGGTAAGGTAGAGCTACCAGCTGATTACTACCAGCTGGTCATGATTGGAAGACACGTAAATTGCGGCTCGCTTATTAAAGCCATTAACAAGTTTAGGCATGAAATCGAAAGATTGAACAGTTTGGATCATATTTTCGAAAGAAAATCCAGGCATTTCATTCATTTTTCGTGCTATTCAACACACTTTAAAAATGAGATAAAATATAAAAAAAGGATAACAACTTGTTGCATATAAATTTGAATGAGTCTGACAGGAAGCGGACATAGCTTCAGGGCTGAATTTCTTTAGTTTTACAAAGCTTTTTTTTTGCGGATAAGGAACAGCGACACCACGTTAGATAAAATATTCGTATATTCTAAAATTGGAAAAGGTAGAAATATTTTATGTATGTATGCTGTTTGGGTTCAACTTAAAAGGCATGTTGCCTTTTCCACGATTTTCTAGCGAGTGCTTAAAGTGTGAAGAGTTTAGGTCAAACAACTAACAATTATACATTCAGGGGAATGCTATGAAAACATTAAAATTAAATATTTTAAGAGCAATTATTCTGCATTTTTATACCCTCCACCATGGGTAGGAGGGTATATTAACTTTGTCATTCCGTTTGTAACACCTCTAAATATTCGTCGTAGACCCCATAAAGTATATATATTCATAATCAGCATAAAATTCTAAGACGATTTAGCGATGTCCGTCTGTCTGTCTGTCCGTCTGTCTGTCTGTCCGTCTGTCTGTTGAAATCACGATAGAGCCCACATTATTTGACGTAGACCTTTGAAATTTGGCACAAGTGTGTGTATTGTCCCTAGGATGGTTGGTATTGTCCCTAGGATGGTTCTGGTATAGTCCCCATATAACGGTACCTCCCGATATTCGGTATTTTCATGATTTATGCCACATTTTTCACGGATTTATCTGAAAATTGGTATTTGTAGGTCATGACGGGTCCCTGAGCGTGTGTCAAAACATTGCATGTATAGGTCCACGTTTTGGTATAGCCCCCATATAACGGTACCTACCGATATTCGGTATTTTGATGATTTATGCCACATTTTTTCACGGATTTGTCTGAAAATTGGTATTTGTAGGTCACAACGGGTCCTTGAGCGTTTGGCAAAACATTGCATGTATAGATCCACGTTCTGGTATAGTCCCCATATAACGATACCTCCCGAGGAGGGTATTAAAAGTTTGGCCCGGCCGAACTTAATTTTTTTTTACGTGTTACAAGTAAGAATATATATAAGAATATATATAAGAATATATATATATATATATATATATATATATATATATATATATATATATATATATATATATATATATATATATATATATATATATATATATATATATATATATATATATATATATATATATATATATATATATATATATATATATATATATATATATATATATATATATATATATATATATACATATATATATTCTTATATATATTCTTACTTGTAACACGTAAAAAAAAAATTAAGTTATATATATATATATATATATATATATATTGTTAATCTTGTTAATGTGGAAAATTGCATCTAAATTTGAAACAAAAATTGTATATAGCGTTGTCCTACCTACCTTCAGTAATTGTGCCATGGATGTGTCCCGAATTCTCCAGCGTATATATCTATATATATTTATTGATTGAATATTGAAAATTGCATCTAAATTTGAAACAAAAAATATAGCGTTGTTTCACCTACCTTCAGTAATTGTGCCATGGATGTGTCCCGAGTTCTCCAGCGTCTATCGTCCAATAATATCGATGTAAAAAATCGATAAAATCGATACTCCCTTTTAAATTAATGTTCCGTGCTTCTTATCGTTTGTTTGCCACCTCTAGTTGCCAATGGACACCAACATTAATGATAGCTGTGGAGCATACCAAGTGCACCAAATGAATGATTCCGATCAGGCGTCTTCGCAGAGAGAAATTGCACCAGATTCAGAATGTGAGGAAGACGATGGTCATGATCGATTTTGTTCTCTTAACGGATTGAGAAATTTAGAAATTCGCGATTCTGAAGATTTACAGGATGAAGCATGGAATGGTTTGTCGAGAGAAGGTAAGAAAAGTTACAATCTTTTCTTGGCCTTTTTAATAAACACAAAAATATGCACGTGTCTTTGTAGTGTCTCACCCGCATATTGGAGGAAGCGGCTCTTGCCTTTACGAAAGTAGCAGTAACAAATTCAACAGATACGGACACATGCCTATGTTGTCCGAGGACTTGCGTATATCCAAAATCTTAAGGCGACTGATGGTTGAATCCAACCGGAAAGCAGCTATTGATCTATGTAATAAACTTGATGTGGCCGTTCGAAACCAGTCGAATGCCTCATACATTTGTCGCTCGTTCGATATTCTGTTTGACAATATGGTAACTGTCCTGCGAAAATGTCCTCCCGAATGTTTGGAAAATGCCAGTATCGTTTTAGGCATTATGGGATATATAAATCGCTATGACTTTGTTGTCTACAAGAACAATCTAACTAAAACCTATGCAAACAACAAGTGTCTCCGCCAATATCTAATGACAGCACTCAGGACCACAATAAGGTGAGTGAGGTGGGAAACATTTAAGAATTTCGTTGAATATGATCTTCGATTGTTTTCCATTATGTTCTAGCTGCGATGCTGTTAATTTGGATTTGAAACCCTATAGCGAGAGACTCTTAAGTCTCTTAAAGGAATATCTGGAAAATGCTGAAGTTGCTGAGAACTTTATCGCGATTAGCGACACAATAAGCGAACTATCGCGACACTATAAACAGTCGTTTGTAAGACACTTCACTGATATTGTCGACATAATTGTTGGATGGCATTTAGAAATTGAACAACCTGCCTACCTTAAGCAACACTGCGCCAAAGTTCTACAGCAGTTGGCAGAATACTTCTTAAGCGAAATGGATTTTACCTTTGGTTTGTTGGGCCAGTTTATTGAGGATATCGAGGCTTGTGGCGATGAGATACTCGCAGAAAACATCACAATGAAATCAAAACAACAAACCGAAGCCCGCGTTGGTGCGTTTATAGGTGCCTTTACATCGATAATTAAAGCAGTAGTCTCGCGAGGCTTCGTTCTTAACAATTTCGTAACTTCAGCCAACCTACTTCAAGAAGCCAAAAAGGTCGTTAACAAAGTTGCCAAGCAATGTTTCCAGACTGTCGCCCTGATCAGTGAGGACACAATTATTAACTTGAACGAATTCTATTGCGTGATTTCATCTTACGACAAAAGTGTAGAAAACTTGTGCGATTTGGAAAGCGTCATCGAACTTCAGTTGTCTCACCTATCAAGTTTCAACGAGAATCAGGTAGTCAGTTTTTTATATATGATCTTGAACATTGTTCGTCAATACCGAACACAACTGCCTTTAAGCTTTGTTTCACTGATCATGAGCAAAGAAAACGTATGGCTGCAGGATTTGAAACTAAATAGCCACTTTAAATCTTACAAACTTTTATTGAAAATCTACCATGAAATCTTGAATATTAAAAACGTTCCCCTATTGCAAGAGGCATATCGTCATATTTTGAAGGATGTTAACCAGCTTGTTGCAGATTTAAAAGCGTCTCGTAACGCTGCAAACTACCACGCTTTGAGATGTGAGTTATTACTCAGTTTCTATCTGGCTGCCATTTCAGTTATGGCCTGTCAGACGTCCTCCATTATAGGAATGTATGCATTAAATCCATCAATTTTGGAACTCCTCATCAACAACTGTCAGGCAGCGAACGAATCGTTGTGGACTAAATATCCTGCATTACATCATGCATTGTTAATAGTTATAATTGAACATTCCTCCAAGAACTACAATTTCCGGCAGTCATCACGCTTGCTGGTGCAGCATCAAGACTCTCCAACATCAGAGAATTTTAACATTATACTAAAATTTCTAGTCAGCATAATGCGTTGGTATATATCTCCCGAACTTTTGAAATGGTTTGAGCAGTTGATGTCAGAATGTAAAGAAAATTATGGCGTCTTAGTGACAAACAATGACTTTTTGGAAATGTGTGAAAATGCGATGGTGTTTGCAAAAAAGAAACCTATTATATGTCTTCGACACTTGCGCGCTATCGTAGAATATCCAAAAATGCCGAAATTCATGTTGTCCTCGGTTGCAGATATTGTTTTCGGTCTGATGGAGAGAACGGATAAAAAACTACTTATTCCAAGCTGTGAGCTTTTAGCTCTTCTGCCACTGGATATTTCAGTCAGACCAAGTCTTAAAGATAACACCTCTTTTCGTAGGGATAGTGAGAGACTGAAGCAATTGTTCTATTGGCATAAGGCAGCAGCAACGCACAGTAGTTTACGGGCTAAATATTTTAAAGCGTTTATCGAATCTTTGGAACCCACATCAGTACGCGACGATGCTTCACACAAAATGTTCGCGGAGAAGAGTTTTGTCCATTTGCAAAAAGATAATGCATCCGAATATCTGGAATGCATACAGGGAAACAGAACTCTTTTGAATACACATTTGCAGTACGAAGCAGCACGATATTGCGTGCAACAGAAACTACGCACAACTTTAGGTAAACCACAGGAAACGTTTCTTGCCATAGAGGCCATTATTTTGAAATACGCGCGTTTGCTGGCCGAAAACGACGGTCTGCCTGAGGATGCAAAATGTATTGATAATATTATGAATATACAGGAGAATTGTCGAATGTTATTGGGATTTTTGGAAAACTTGGAGAAGCACATTTACAACGCGGCTGAGGGTACCGCATATGCAATGTTTCCCGCCGAGAAGCCAGCTAAAACTTTCTTTCGCGTCAACGCCTCTACTTGCGCTGAATGGTTTAAAAGAATACGAACTGCTGCAAATCTAATAGGTATACATACAATGGAATCAGAAATGGTCATACGATATTCAGAGGTGAGATAGAAAAATTGCTGAAATTGCACTTTGGACACCTAAGGTATAATAATAGAATTCCTAATCATATTGTCCTTTTATTCTTCCAGATAATTTTGGAAAATGAAACGATTTTAACAAATCGAGGATACTTAGAACGTACAGTTACTACTATGGTATGGGCACTCTTTAACTGCAGAGAAACAGAAACACTGAACGGCTTGCGTTTATGGTTGAAGTCCAAACAGTTTCAGGGATTCGAATGGATCCAGTACGTTGCCGATCACTCGTCAGGTCATTTGGAAAAAGCTATAAGTGGTTACTCCAGTGTTCTTAGCAACAGTTCCACTACAGTTGATGCATTCACAAAGGAATTTATCGAGAAACAGCTAATGGAATGTTTATACAATACTGGGAAATGGTCGGAAATATTACAGATGATCAACAGTTCAGCTTATTCCCAATTTCACTTGCAATGCATGAATTTTATCTATGAAAGCGCTGTTAAATCTAGTGGTGCTTCTAACAATGATGCTGTTGCAAATGCTATTTGGAAAATGACCGAATGGAGTGAAGACTCAAAATGTAACAAACCGGCCCAACGGGTTGATAGTTTTTCCTTCTATGAAATTGCCAGTAGATTGCGCGAGGCTTGTTTGGCCAGATCGATTTGTGTAGCGGGTGACGACATTGCATGGTTCGAGCCCTTTAAAGATTGCATACGACAGGCACTACATCTCAGCGTATACAATAATCACGAGCCTGGAACTAGTCTAAATATGCTAAATGAAATATTGCTTCTTAACCACTCCGCCACAAAAATGGAATTGCTCAGTAACGTGCTGTTTCACAACTCCAATACGAACACTATTCCTACGGAGCTTTCGAATAAAATTCTCTGTTGGTCATTGATAGTTGACAAGAAGTTGCAAAAAGAAAACCTACCTCTTCTGCTTGAAGTTATACACAAATCAAGGTTGGACACTAATTTTTCATACAGTCAGTCATTACTAGAACAGTTCTTCTTCGTCAAAGGCGTAGACCAGCCACTCGAACAAATGATCCATGAATTGAAATCCAATGACTTACGCCTGGATTTTAGTGACTCGGAAGTTGTCAGCGGCTTGGAGGAGCTAATTAAATGCGTCTATGCACAATCTAACTCAATAGTAGACTCAATGGAATTAGCTTCAGCTTGTTGTGTTCAAATAATCGAAAAAGAGCCATGTAAATCGACAGTTCTGCCAGAAACCATATCGAACATCTTGCTGACAATGTATGAATGGATATGTTCACATCGTGTAAATAACCACAACATATCACATGGAAAGCAATTTCAGGCCCTACAAAGACTACTTCCCGATGTGGACTTCTGTTCCGCGGCAGATAAGAAAATTCCTGCCTTTGAATATGCCGTTGGTAAACTTTTGAATGGTAGCATTTTGTGTCGTGACAACTGCGGTGAAGCTTGGTTCTCATTCGGCAATTGGTGCTATCGGTGGGGTAAGAAACTAATGGAAACCTCCGGAAATAGTACTGATCAGCAGGAACTTAATCAAAATCACGCGGCTATACGAAATATTTTAGGAGACAGGGTTGACAATGAAATAGTTAAACAAATTGTGCAACTGTTGAACACTCACATAGCCAACATTATGAGTGACGATAACGTCGAAGATGAGGTATATGTAGATGGGGCACATAATCCCACAGAAAAACTAGAGCGAGATTTGACGAAACTATGCAGCGTATCACCAGAGCAAATGAATGACATAATTTGTTTGTGGCGTCAGGAGCACAAGGGAGTATATGGGTTTTATGAGGAAGCGACTCGGGCATATTTTAAGTACTTGACCATTCAAAGTGATGCCGTATCTGATCAAAAATCGAGTTCAATTGGATCTGAGGTAGAAGATTGTACTTTTGTGACGACCACATTGCGATTATTGCGTTTAATTGTAAAACATGCGCAAGGACTACAGGTATTGTTGTCAGCTCTGAATAAAATGAATAATTTTGTCATTTAGCACTATTCCCTAATTATAGGATGTATTGGAGGATGGTTTGCGGAATACACCGTTGCGACCGTGGAAAGTTATTGTCCCACAGTTGTTTAGTAGGCTTAACCATCATGAGAATTATGTTCGTCGAAGCGTCTCCGATTTGTTGTGTCGGCTAGCTGTAAATCAGCCGCAGCTTATTATATTTCCAGCTGTAGTGGGAGCCCAGCAAGAGCTTAAACTCTGTGGCGAAAGTCCTTCTGCTAATAGTCAAATGCAATTAAGTAATTGCTTTGTGGCGCTTTTGCATTCCCTTTCAGGTCAATGCCCAGACACGGTGTTGCAGGTACAGATGCTCGTCAAGGAATTGAAACGCATTACTTTGTTATGGGAAGAATATTGGATACACAGTTTGGCCCAGCTTTACTCTGAATATTCTCAGTTGTATAATTCGTTGGATTCGGAATCGAAAAAAACGGCCAATGTGGAGGCGATGTTGCCGAAATTTGAAATTTTCAGACAGCATTTATTGGCGGACTTTAAGAAAATCGCGCAAGTGACAGAAAAGGACCCTGAAACGAACTATGAGCGAAGTTTTAAGGAAAGATTTAAACCACATATCGAAAGCGTACTTAAGGAGTTAGAAAATCCCAATGACCCCTCAAGACCTTGCGAATATTGGCAAAGAATCAAACAGTTATATAACACATTTCAACAAAAACCCCTTAGAGGCAACTCTTCCAGCATGAGGGTATGCGACGTAAGCCCCGTTTTGGCCAATATGCGGAATACAAGTATAGCTATGCCTGGAGTGGACACATACGAAAAATCCGCAGTATACATCAAATCTGTAGAAAATATTATTTCTGTACTACCCACGAAAACAAAGCCAAAGAAATTGTCATTCTGTGGTAGCAATGCTCACAACTATACTTATTTGTTTAAAGGCCAGGAGGATCTGCATTTGGATGAACGCATAATGCAGTTTCTGTCGATTTCCAATTCTATGATGATACGATCAAGTTATTCCAAAGTCACAGCGGACACTGACTGCTTTAGAGCCCATCATTATTCGGTCATTCCATTGGGACCGCAATCTGGTCTCATCAGTTGGGTAGACAACTGTACGCCACTTTTTGCGATTTATAAGAAATGGCAACAGCGAGAAACTATTTTAAAACAGCAACAGAAAGAACGCCAATCAATCAAATTCAGTGATGCGACGGTCCAAAGCCAATGTGTTGGCACCTCGCGACCCTCGGAGCTATTTTACAACAAATTAACGCCCCTGTTGGCCGAACGAAACCTAAAAGTCTCAGATCCACGGAAGCAGTGGCCAATGCCGGTATTGAAACAAGTTTTACGTGACCTAAGCTCGGAGACACCGAACGATCTTTTGTCGAAAGAAATTTGGTGCTATTCTGCAAACGCAGTGGATTGGCGCAAATCGGTTCGTCGCTACACCACATCAGTGGCTGTCATGTCCATTATCGGATACGTAATCGGCCTGGGCGACCGCCATTTAGATAACATCCTTATAAAGCTAGGGACGGGCGAAATTGTACATATCGACTACAATGTTTGTTTCGAAAAAGGGAAGTCCTTGAGAGTTCCCGAGAAGGTGCCTTTCCGGTTGACACAGAATTTGAGAGTTGCCCTCGGCTTGGTTGGAATTGAGGTAAGCATAGAATAATTATAAATTTTTATGTGTATGTGTGGGGGTATTCAACGTTTATTGTCAATATACGGTAGCAGTATCGGTTGACGATGATGATACTGTAAAAATCGTTTGCAGCTGAACATCAGTGTAGGGCAATTTTCCCGAAGTTCCGCCAGTAGTGAATACCCCTTGTGTTGTTTCCGCTGCTGCACTTGATATCGATTCCTTTTTGTAGACATCGGTCGAGGTCTTCTGGTAGCAATTCGGCGACTTACAACGTATTAATTGCACAAAGGCTCTTCTAAAATTTGAATTTTTCCAAGAATATATAATTGGATTCAGCGCCGAGTTCGTCATTGCCAATGTAAATGCGGCTTTATATAAAAGTGGCGTTGACTTGTATACCTCGAAAATTTGAGCACAGGCCACAATAAAATATGGCAACCAACAAAGAGAAAAACAACCCATTATGAAAATGACCACCTGTAACAATAATAAACGCAATTGAATGAATTTTCCAGTCACTGGCGTTCACAAAGTACGCACCTGCACAGACTTCCAATCAGGGTGCAGCAAATTGGAGGATCGTTTTCGCCTGATATTTCGTAATTGATTTGCTTGTTTAGAAGCTTCTTTCATTATGCGCCAGTACATCAGCAGCATTAATAGCCAAATAATTGTGAATGATGGTGTTATTATGCCAGCCATGTACCAGGGCGGTAGTACTTCATCAAATTCGCATTGGTATGCTGTGTGCCAATTATTCCAAAACATCGGTATTGCTGCTACAGTTGCGCCAACGGACCAGTTGAATGTTATGACGAAAGCTGCAACTTTCCGCGTCATACATCTGAAAAGAGATAACAAAAGCTTGACTCTTCTTTGCAATAGTTACATTATTCAAAGTCAAATCAGTGGGATGCACGAGTAATCGATATTTTGATGGTGATTCCATGGACTTGAACCAGAATTCAATTACTTACCTTCTGTAATGAAGAGCATACACGATTGCAATATAACGATCGACCGATATAGTTATAAGTGTCAGTATCGACACACAGCAAGCGAAAATAATAAGGAAGAAACGAGTAAGACACAAGACATACTTATTACCCATAGTTGTGGTTAAATAAAAGGACAAGTGGTACGGTAACGTTAGACCGACTATAAAATCCGAAACTGCAAGCGACATTATAAACAAATTCGAGATGAAGCTGCGCAGACGACGACAAGTACGCACTGCGATTATGGTAAAGGCGTTGCCCCCAAGTATGACGACCAACAAGACTCCATTGATGAAAGCCCATAGGGCCGTACCCCAAGTCAATTCGAAAGCATCACTGGTAATAATCGATTCTGCCGCTGTGGTTACTGTGCTATATGTACTGTTATAGTTGTTCATTGCGTTTGAAACGCGGTGACATCGTCACTCGTGCATTCCCCCAAGAGCGGCAGTGTTCATGGGGTTTCTTCTTATCAGGAAATACATGTACACTCGTACATTTTCGGTACGCCTTTAACTATGGAATACCTCACACAGCCATGGTACATCAATGATTTGGTATTACACATGTTATTGGTTTGTTGCGGAGCATGACTATGTATCATAAATATTCTCGGAAACATTAAAGTGGGTTAAGTGGTCTATATTTCGACAAATGTAATCACTAACAACTGGTAATACTCTATTTTGGGCAACATTTTTATACAAGATGAGACAACACTGAGTGTTATGGGAGCAGATGAATAAAAAAAACAAATGTCTAGTGACATACGAACGTCTCCGTTGAATAAAAATCACAACTTGGAAAACATTTTTAACAAAATATTTTTCCCTAACTGACGAAATGTTTTGCCACCCACACTTGTATTCTAACAAACATATTTACATGCACTGATAGACGGAACAAAACAAAACTTCACTTCAGATAAATGACCAACTGTGCACTGAACTTGATAACACCAATAAAAACAAATATTCATACGCATTTGAAATATCTATTTCGAGTGAATAAACATTGAAGGGGTAATTAATACAGACACGAAGAAAATAATAGCACCAATATATAATTATTGAGTGTTGCAATACATCATCTCATAATCACGCTTTCCCTCTTAATTCCCTAACCCCATGCGGATCATCATACCTGCCATACAATTACAGCAAAAACATTTTATTTAAGTAAATATTTCAGATATAGTCAGCTATACCAATAAAATAAGGTTCTCGTAGGTTCTTAAATAACATTATATTATAATTGTTAATGTGTGAATAGTGCTAAGTTTGGAAAGTCGGCATATGTATATTTCGATAATGTATTTTCATATTCTTTATCAATTAATTGTTGTCGAAGGATTTTCCAAAAAATTTCTAAGTTTAAATTTTTGGCAGTTCTATTCTAAGACGCACAAAAAAGTTGGGAACAATATTTTATTTTATGATTCTATCGTAAACATAATTTATGGCTAATCCTTCATTATTGATTTATCGAACTGTAGTCTTAAAGATATCATTCGATTTTTTTGAATAGTTCGTTTTGTTTCTCTATAAAAATTAGAAATGAGTTTTTCAAATAGCTAACCGGCAGCAGTTTGGATAGATCAGCTCCCAAATGTGATAGATCACTTTGTGATTGGATACAGGGCACATGTCTGGTCGCTGGATATTATTGATTATATTTTGGTCCTTGGTGACTTTAACTTACAAACAATTAAGTGTCGATCTCATTGCCAGATTCAGAATCGATGACTCCTTTAACCCCATCTGGGAATTCTAATCATTTGTCATATGATGTTGTGTTTTGCGATTTAAACCTTCGATTTAGTTGTGTTTTGCGATTTAGATGAATAGAAAATATTTATGTAAAAATTCTTTATTTAGCATTTGTTAATGTCACATAGTAATTTGACATTTTAAGAATGCCTGCTATCTCAACACCCGAAGATAATTATCATCCCACATTGTGTATATTAATGTCTCTTAATAGAACAATAATTTGGAAGAGCTCAACGTAATTAGCAAAAAAAAAGTTTTTGATTGTAAAAGAACTAATTTTCATAGGATAAATTCACTAATAAAATAAGTTCCAAAAAACTTCCTTGGATTACAAACGAACAAAGAACGAAAATATAAGAAACCTGGGTCCGGCATTGATTATGCTAATTACTCAACTGCTAGATCATGAAGTGAAAAAAGTTTGAAATGTAATCCAAAGTCCTTCTAGGATTTTGTAGATTTAAAAAGAAAAAGATCTTCTAAAATTTGTAAATTAAAAGTCGATAATAATGAATATGTTTCCGATACTGAAATCGCTGAATGTTTAGCTAAGTTTTTTGCATCTGCCTATTCTTATGACCATTTTCCGCAACATTTTTCCTTTCCATATAAATTACCAGAAATTCCTAAAGTAACCATTTTTTCAGAAGTATCAAAAGGTTTGCGTAGTTTAAAAGCAGTAAAAAGTACGTGTCAGGATGGCATTCCCAGTGTTCTCTTCAAATTTTCCTTTCAGTCAGCACTTTTGTACAATTATTCACTTAAGTTTAGTTATTTACCTTCTGATTAGAAAAAATCGCACTTGGTGCCTCAAAATAAATCTGAAAGCTTAGTAGATGTTTCCAATTATAGGGAAATTGCAGTGTTCAGTGCCATTCCAAAGTAATTTGTATAATTAATTACTAATGTAATTTCCGATACAGTTAAATCTATCCTAAGTACAGTCCAACGAGGTTTCCGCAGTGGACTCTCAACCATTACTAATCTTATCCAATTTTCATAAGAAGCAATTAAAGAGTTTGTTCACAACAAATATACTAATACAATTTATAATGATTTCAGCAGAGCTTTTGATAGACAATCATAGGTTACTATTATTTAAATTTGAACGTATAGGATTTAATAGAAACTTGGTTTTATGGATTTCATCATATTTGCGCGATAGGTCACATATAGTTTTGGTTGCAGGTTGTCATTCTAAATCTATCGATGTTCCATCTGGTGTTCCACAAGGAAGTCATCTTGGGCCAGTTCTATTTCAATTGCTGGTTAATGATCTATTAAATTCAATTAAGTCGCCTCGCCTTATCGAAGATATCCCCTAATATAGGAATGTAGTTGAACAACTGAAAACTATAAATGACACATGGAGAACCCCTTATATCCTCAATTAGTATATTTAATACTTATTTAGAAACCACATCACTTGGGTATTGACCGTTATGTTGTTACTTTTGTTTATATCCATTGTCCCCAACAAGGTCCATATGGTCCGAGATGCATCTATTGATATGACGTTTTATTCAACTTTTTTCTATTTCGGTAATTAAACTTCAAAGTTAACCTACATTTATTTGAAGATGCAATAGCCAGAAGAAAACCTGAAAAGGATGGAAATAATGTTTTATTCCTTAAAAAAATACAAAGCGGAATAACCAAGCACTCGGCGGCGGCAAGCTAAGAAAAACGTAATAATATACAATGGCTTGTTGATGTAAATGCAAGACTTCCAACAACCCGTAATGTTCATCTTAAGATTGCGGGTTCAATACCAGCGGCGAACAAAGTAAAAAAGATTATATTTTTCATTAAGATTACAAAATAGCCGTTTCGAATCGGCAAGAATATAGATATGACTCCCACATATAACTCTATAAAAATGATTTTCGGTGTGTGGCATCAGTTACAGCTTAGAAATCCTTTTGACAAATTTTGTCGAAATCGGTTCAGATTTTCATATAGCTCGCATATGTATTTTCCTCAACTTTTTGTAAATGATGCACCAGCCGTGTTATTTTTATACCCTACACCACAAGGTGGTCAGGGTATTATGTCTTTGTGCATTTGTTTGTAACAGGCAAAAGGAAACGAGATAGACCATAGTTCCTTTTGATGATCTGCATAGAATCACATTCTGAGTCGATTTATGCATGTCCGTCCGTGTGTCCATTTGTTTATTTGTTTGGCCCAAGAACGAACCCTATTGAAATTGGCGATAATCGGTAAAAATTTAGATATGGCTTCCATATATATCTTCGTCCGATTTGCCTTTTATTGTGCACCAAACGTGTAATATCATCCCGGATAATATGGAATTCTGCACAAATTAGGGCTGAAAATAATTATGCCAAATTTGATCGAAATTGGTTCAGATATAGCTTTAGCTCCAATATATATATTTTCATCCGATTTGTTATTTTTGACTTCCGCAGCCGTAATATGCAATCTGTAACAACAATATTTGGGGAAATATATGAAATACAGCTCAGAAATATCTTTGCCAAATTTTATCAAGATCGGTTCAGATTTGGATATAGCTCCCATATATATCAAATGGGCAATACAAGTCCGAATTTAAAAGATACAAATGCTTCGTCATATTTAGTCTTTTGAACTATAAAATATAATTATAATCATAGCGTGTATGATTGAATTCTCCCATTAAAACTTTTAATTGTTGTGTGGAGCTCTACTAAATTAGCAAAGTGGTGTAGGGTATTACAAAGTCTGCCCCGCCCGATTTTAAGACTTTCTTTACTGGTTTGCTAATTAGGTTGTGGCTAGGATCATACTAGGATTCAAGATATAGCTATTATATATTCAATAAAGATAATTGTTTACATTATTTACTGCAAACATATACACAATATAACCAAATATTTTTACTAGAAGCTCTATTAAATATGCATAGTGATGTAGGGTATCATATAGTCGGCTCAGCCTGAATTTTGTCCTTTCCATACTCGTTAAAATATGCAGTTGTTAAGGACGGATCAGATGAATCTACTAACATGAAGACTCTGTCTTGAGCCAACAATACCTTTATATCTTCAAAAAATGGCTTTTAGTCGCTTTAGCTTGTTGTGTGCATAAATGTTATTAGTTAGCTTTTTCATGGTCGTAAAATATAAGTCGAGAATATTTAATTCATATTCCTGAAATCTAGTATATTACATTTGTGTATTTCGCTCAAATGTTATAAAAATATATAAATTTTTGAGCTCTGTCCTATTTGAAAATGGATTTTTCTGAAAAGATGCAAAATTGGTGCAAACTTTTTTTCAAAAATATGATAGACTTCATTATCTTTCACCACATGTATATTGTTTCCCAAATACACAAATGAGACACGGGCGAAAACAAAAACTAGATGAAAATGAAATTCACCCAATAGAAAATTTACAAAGTTTAACAATACTTTCCTTTTTTCTAATGATAATCTTAAATTACTATCTTTTCCACGTGTTTTTCTACTTTTTGTTGTTAATGTATTGGGGCCAATGATATTATGAGGTTTAATTAAGTTGAAATGTCAGGAAATTGTAAAAAGAGAATATGACATCTTTCTTTAACAACTCGGCCCTGAGTTGTTGCCAGATTGTAATTTTTGTTTTCGAGGTTTTGAAAGTAGAAGCTATATAAGCAAATTTTACAGCTGCATGATCTACGCACCGTAGCTACTCTAAATATTCCATTTAAGGCGGATTGCTTATCCATTTAGCGCACATTTGTACATTTTTATTTTTGCTTATATTAATATTGTCATTACTGCTCTTGTCTTTATATTACTTATTTATAAAGGGGTCTTACCGTACGACCTGCTCACATGTTTTGAAAGTATTGCGGAAGGAAAGAGAAACGCTACTCACGTTGCTTGAAGCATTTGTATATGACCCCTTGGTTGACTGGACAATAAGCGATGATGGAAACAATACTCGCGGAACATCAGCACATAATGCTGCGATAATGATTTCTTCGCTAACCTCCAACAAGGAAGTCCAGTTGAGTCCGAAAGATGTATTTGGAAACAAGAAATACGATGCCGAATGGTCCTTGCAAACGTTTGATGCAAAAATTGCAGAAGTTAAATCGGTGTGGTTGAAGTACAGGTAATTTCTTGCGTTTATACCATTTTTATGTTCTTTATTTGATGTGTACTGTTTTTAATAGGTACGCTTTCGATGACCGTCTACAAGACCTAATGAATTATGTTCGAAGATTGCTAGATATACGTGGCAGTATTTCACAGTTGGAACAGGAACGTTCTAGTTATACAAAACAACTCGCTATGATTCGAGAACTGGATGCGTTAGGTTCTGCCCGGGGAAGCCATGCTTTGAATACCGTTACACAACGTTATAAGGCATACAAGAGAGATTTGAGTTCATTTGAAAATAGTAAACATTTGGTGGAGCAAACGGTTAAAGATCTGGAAGTTGTGTTGACTACATATTTCCACATACTACTCGAGCCTACTGAAATCATTAAGATAGACGTCGATTTTCAGGCAGATATGTCACCGTCCATTGATCACATAGAGGAAATAAAAAAATTCTCTCCAGAATACACGTCGACAGACAAATTTGCAAAGCAGGAATGGGCCAACTGTTTAGCGCAAATACAAAAAAACGCAGTCGAATGCAAAAATTTACTTTTATTTTATAGCAACGTCAAGCGTTACACTCCACGTTGTAGACTGCTCCAAAATCATTTAGTGAAGTACAAATCCGCTTTTAGCGATTTAATCCGACCAAATAATGAAGGTGAATCTGGTGAAACAACTAATTCAACTGATAAAAAGTGCAACACGGTATCCTGTAGCAAATACTTCGACAAGATGTTAAAGATTTACGAGGATTTAAAGAGAAATTTGTCGAATGCGCAGCTTGCCTTGGAACAGCGTCGAAAACAGCAGGTAAATGTGCATTTCAACCCATTCTATATTCTATAAATATATCAGGTAAGACACGAAATATGAAAAAAATCTGCAGTGCAAATACTTTTGGGTGTAGCAATATATTTTGGATTGATTGTCAGTTTAAAGTGGCCTGTATCCAAAATATATTGAGCTTCAGTATTGAATAATATAGGGTACAACTACAATCACACCCCAATTCAATCTATAGAACCAGTAAGAAAGTATAACCCAAGTTTAAGTTAATGACGTAATACTAGACGATATCCCATTTAGTTCAACAATCTGAGTTCTGGCAATTATTAAGAAAAATTAACCTAACATCTCTAAAAAATCAAGATAAACTAAAGGAGTCAATAAAGTGCAATTGTAAAAACAAATTGCTATTGCCTGCACAAAAAGCATACTGCTCATACCATAATTTACACTTCACAATTAAAATAGTGGTCTTTCTTTATATTTTCACATATTTTACCAAGAACTGGAAGTATGGATTTAGGTTGTAAATCCTCAGGATCACAAATAGAGGAAACATTTGGAATTGAGATAGAAGGCTAATCTTGTACCGTGTATTTTGCCAATAGGCAGGTTAAGTTCGTAAATGTGCCATGTCGTTCAACGTTATCGTATAGCCCACATATAACGGTATATTCGATATTTTGATAATTTTAATGGTACCTTCCGGAATCAGTACTACAGCATATGATGGGAAATTACTTTTGTATGTAGGTCCACGTCTGCGTATAGCACCCATATTAAGGATTTTTTAAGCGGTATTTTTAAACAGAAGTTTTTTTCAGTTTTTTAAGTTCCTTCCAAAAATGGTGGAGCATATTAAAAAAACGACCCGGCCAAACTTATCTGATTTTCTTCTTGCTACTTAAAAAGTAAAACGCCCTATTCCAGAACTCAATGAATGTAAAACTTTTTACTACGACAACCGTTTTTGATATCGAAAAACTGGTAGATTCTGGAACAGAGCAAAAATAAAGCATGGAACGTTAAGAAAATTGAATTTGTATTTTTTCTTAAACAGTTGAAACCCGTATAAAAGAAAAAAAATGTCGTCTAAAGTTAAATTCAATTAAAATGAATTTGAATCCTGTAATTCTACTCTAATATGCCAATATTGTAGAGTTTCAATTTGTACTTGAATTTGTTTGCATTTAATATTTATTTATTGTATATATGACGTTGTAATTGCATGCAAAGATCGCGTTCCTTCTTTTTACGAGTCATTTAACTAATGACATCTAGCATTTGGAATACGATATTTGTAGTTGCTACATTAGTAATATCTATATTGTGAAAGAAGGCATTTTCTATCGTTGCTGTACTAATAATATTCTTCACCCATTAAGGATATCGAGAGAGATGTTGTAATGAATGCTATTGCTGACTTTCTCCACTCGAATATGTGCCAAAACCAACAAGCGCTTTTAAGATCTGCATTAAGCCGCATAAATTCTGCATATAAGACTTTTGTAAACGATAAGAGGCATTCTGCGGACGATGGAAAATTTTCTCCATTAAAATACGAAATTAACTTCTTGCACGCTGTGGTTAATTTTGCCAGTTATCTTGACATAGTCGATACTGTCCAAATGGTAGAGATTTTAAAAGAATCATTAATTGAAATCAATAATTTCGCAAATACTTTCGAGGATACAATACTTAAATTATTGAGTATCTTTATGATGGACCATAGCAGAAATATCAGCAATATAAAGGATTTAGAATCGGTGCCGGAAATCAAACCAATAATTGAGGAAGTCAATAGCCATTTCGAAAGCATAGAGTCGATGCTACGCAAAATGCAAAGTCATCTTTTCCGTTTCTCAGAAACCCGCCAACACTATGGGTCTATCAATTGCATAATGGTATGTCTTCTCTGAGCCGGATTGCTCAATTGTCTTGCTTTCCTTCAAATGTAATTCAATTTTTTCCACTTCTAGGCTTCTTGGAACATTAACATTGTTGAGTACGTAAAGTCGTGTCGCGACGAAATGATCTCAAAGTTAACATCCGAGCTGAAACGTTCGTCCCTTTCACTATTAGACCATGACACGGAAGACGTTTTTGATTTGCGATCCCTACTATATGTAATGAAGGACACCATAGGCGGTATATACAGCAGCTTATTTGTAGATCTTTTGCCGTTTGCAATAGAATTCGTAGAATATGATATTTCAAACATGATGGCTGCGACTGTGGACTCACCCCTCGACGACACAAGCTGCACCCAAACTGCGGATGGATTGTGTGATAAACTGTACATGTCTATAGAACAAGAAACTGGAGTGCAATGGGATGAAATGGACATTATTCAACTCAATAAAATTGTTGAAGACTATCGTTCAATCTTAACATCTTTCTACTGGCTAAATGAAGAATATTTACACGGACAAATTGCGAACTCTAAAATTGATATCTCATCCAAGAAAGACTTTCTGTCCAATTTGCACAACATTAGCCAGGTATTGACTATGTGGAAATCGACAATGATGAAAATACAATCGGAACTCGACGTACGCCACAAAACGATAGAAAATGTATTAACGCTTCCGTCAACTGTCACGGGTACTCCTCAGGAGGAGATCCGTAAACTGAAGGAAGCCATTGCAGCGTCAAATAACAGTTATACATACTTTTTAAACTTGGCTACAAGATTAACAGAATATAGCGCTGTTCTGCTACAATTCGAAATATCGGCAGGGGATGAACCCTTTGAGTCACTCATAAAACAATTTAAAGAGGAGCAGAACAAATTGCGGTCGTGTGAGGTTTCCATAAGCTCAGTTGAAAGAAATTTGGTCCAGCTTTTAGATCCCGAAGGGAAAGTCGACCAGTGCTGGATTGAGAATATTTCCGATTTGTTGGACGAAATGATATTTTCGGCACAGAAAAAAATGTGTGATTTAGAAAAGCAGGAATCTACTTTAGAGAACAAGTTGGCGGAAAGCGGACAACTTTTGCAGGTTTGAGTTTATAGTTTAGATTTTATACATGTATGTATTTTGTTTTTTGTTTTTCAATTTCAGACTCTCGTTGATTCCTCCATTAGAGTGGATCTGCGCCATTTGCTGAAAGTGATCACAAAAACGTTCAAAATGTGCCCAAAGATTGAGAGTGGAGATATCTGCCAACATATTCGCGAGTTGCAGCAAATTATGAAATTAATTCAAAGTAAAATCATTGATCTTCAAATCCAACTCTTGGCCGGGGAGTTTGAGAGTTCAGTTCTCAATCAAATACAAAGCAATATCGACGAGCTAAATTCAATGGTCAATTACAGCAATTCGGTCCTCGAACGAATTTCTGAAGTGAATGTGGAAGATAGGCAGTTTTCTAGATTAGAAACATCAAATCGAAATGAGAATTTAAAAGAACGTGAGTGGCGTGACCACTAACTAGCCCGTACGATTTCTTTATTAACAACGCTTCTTCTATTACAGCCACGGTTACTAACAGCCAAGTGGGAGAACAGAAGCGGAATGCATATGCGGTTTCCGTATGGAAACGTATACGTATGAAGCTTGAAGGTCGTGACCCAGATCCCAACCGACGCAGTTCTGTGGCCGAACAAGTCGACTATGTCATAGCTGAAGCTACAAGTGAGGATAATCTGGCCTCTTTGTATGAAGGATGGACCCCCTGGGTGTAGTTTAAAACAGCAATTGCTCCATAGCGAGGAGCATGGCATAGGCTTTTGCAAAATTATTTAAAATAGAGTTAAATTCAAGTGAAGTATCAGATCAGAACCACGTAGATGTGCAACACCAGATAGAATCCGATATCGGTTCTGCAACGAGAGTGTAGGTACGGTATCCTCCAGCTAACAAACAAAGCATTGATTGTCTCCATTTGCAGATCGATCGTCAGGTGTAGTTTTTCTTAGAATTTCATCCTCTGCTTCGTTCATGGTATGAGCTTGACATGAGGATGTTGATCGGTGAAAGTAATATTGCTCAGTTACTGTTGCCCATATGATGTGGTTGGGGAGTGAAAAACGTCGCCTTTAAGTTTTGACAAGAAAATCACTCAAGACAATTAAATTATATATTACTAATTTGATGAATATGCATTTGTTCCTTTCAGCTCAATTTTATGTTTGATTACTTTTCTGTATATTTTTATGTTTTACCATTAATAAATATTATAAATTAAACCTTGAGGAATTTCTGCCCGTGTCAATCAGAAACACCCGCAACATCGAGATTTATCTGCAATGTCGGTGTCTGCATTATCAGATATCTGACATAAAAAATGGGATGACAGTGTTCTGGACTATTGTAGACAATATGAAGACGAAGAAGAGGTAGAGACGATTGAACACCTACTATGTAAATGCCCAATGTTATCAAACAGAAGACATAAGCAATTTGGTGGTGGGAGACGACGCTTTTCTCCGCAAAAGCTGAACGTATTTATTTTGAAAATTATTTGCTGGATTTTAATTTGATTTCCTTGAAGATATGGCCAATATTGAGGCAAAAAATACCTATACCCATGGCATAATTACAGAAGGTAGAACAAAGCTACACCCTAAATACAAACATATCCACAGTTTCTATATGTGTGAGCCAAGACTGGGGAGCCAACAGAAATGCACACTTTCCACGTTAACGTTCAACAAAACGTACAATTTTGGGATGAAACAATCTTGTCCTACTATCTTGGATTCAATTTTGTTACAGCGTTACCTAAAATTCGACGTAGCATACACAAATATTCAACTTCCCCACTATGGTAAATTTTTTTAATCGTCCGTATTACCCAAATATCCATATCTTAAAATCTACGAACCATGGCCGAATTAAGTGTTGTTGAGATCAGTTTATTAGAAGTAATGAGGAAAAGAAATGTGTATGTACATATAATGGCGTATGACACAAATTTCAAAGTTGTAGACATTTGCATAAACATTAAGTGTCCTCACAGTTAATTACAATGTTGATTTGAGTGTTTATATAAATTAACTATTAACATTAAGAAGGTAAAGTCATGCAAACATCATCATATGTTTATAATTTTTTCAAAATACTTCATTTGGCAATAATAGTTGGCCTACCCCTCTTTTAGTCATTCCCTTAGGATTATTTACCATCCGCAAACACGCCAAATAAAACCATAGAAAATTTTGACAAATTATTATTATTATTTTTTTTTTTTTTTTTTTTGGAATGTTACTTCAATTGCACATATTCACATTTTGTCTATTAACCGTTTTTATTTATTAGTTTGTTCCAGAAAAGTTTTTACTTTATAATATCGAAGAAAATTGCAAAACTAGTAGGATCTTGCAGATACTGTGAAAACGTCAAAATTGTAAATTTTCGTGTTAAAAACATAGACTCAATCATGGTACAATGAATTCAAGGTAGGGCAGAACAACCATATGATTTCAATTTTTTCATTTTTCTGGCTTAATATGTCAACTTCATTTGTTTATGTGTGTGCATTTTTTCAATAATAAAAAATTGTTCAGGAAATATTCAAATTTGGGTATTTTTTTAAAATGCTTATTGCAACGTATACCTCGACAAAATCTACAGTTTTTGTTGCGAAATAAACCATAAGAGATATATAGAACATAATTTTGAAAAGAAATTTTGACCTTTCATTCATTTTTCGCGGTTTGAAATTATTTATTCAAAATAAATGCAACAAGTTGTTTGATTTTTTATTGTTTTGATACTAATTCTGACATTACAAGCCAAACAGGTAGACCTCCATACTTGCAATTTTTTCAAAGTTGACCTACCTTCTCTTCATTGTACCATGGACTCAATAATTTTCAATTGAATTGAATTGAATTGCAGGTACTGGAACGTAGTATAAATATTATTTCAAAAATGTATCTTAGATATAAGCATTAGTTAGGGGAAAAAGCATTAGCAACTTGGGTCATCAGCTATCCAAATTTCGTTACGGAGTATTTTTGGTATAATAGTTACAGAAATTTCAAATATTGTCTTGACATTTTCAGATGTAGGAGTTTTAAGGATATCCAATCATCCTTTATTCTGGGGAATTAAACTGTGTTCTTGATGTAAGCAAGAGCATTCAAGTACAATTTTTAAATTAATGATCGAAATTCCTGTTCAGTAGGTGTTTGTGTGTATGATCAATTTGCAGTCATGTGAACATTCTATTTTTTTCTCTAAATTGGAAATGTAAATAGGAAATGAGGTATCGGGATTTGTAATGTAGTAATGGTGGTGCTTAAAATCTTTTAAGAAAAATAAGCATTCGTAATCGTTTTAATGTTCTACACACAAAACAAACAAAAAAAAAAAAAAATATATATATATATAATATATATATATATATATATATATATATATATATATATATATATATATATATATATATATATATATATATATATATATATATATATATATATATATATATATATATATATATATATATATATATATAGGATTCTTAGGGATACATGTATTCAATACTTGTGAAAAAAATGTACGTCAGGTATTAGTAGGGGCAAGGTGTATTTATAAGGTGTATGCATCAACTACAACAACTAATATTTTACAATAACAAAATTATGTTATATATTCACATTAATTCAAAATTTTCAATTCATGCATTGGTTTGACAATTCATTGTCGATGCGTCCACGTGTATTCTTATACCATGAGCCAACCGATGACTTAAGCCGGATCAACTCTAGTAAAAACTATTAGATTTTTTTCCAAATTTTTTCCAGAGGTGTGTATTTTTTCCCTGATTTCGGGAAATTATTTTTTTCCTGTGGGACGGACCCGGGACCCCAGATTTTTGACCCGAAAGTCCGGGTTCAAGACACCGGATCCAATTAGCCAAGACAATATTGGCATCGTTTGAAAGCTTATGAAAATACCTATCCAACAAAATGCTACAATTTGTGCTAATACCTTTTTCGGGTCCAGAGATATGGGTCTTTACATCCACATAACCCGATTCTAACCAGTCCATTAAAATTATATTTCCAATAAAAAGGATTTATTTCGTGTAGCAGTCGTTGGAATTACAAAAGTTTTTTAAATTTGGCACTTTTTGTAAATAGCCGGACTTTGGCCAGAACCTGAGATTTTCTCCTCTGGGTATGTTCTACACCGGTTAACGCGAACAAAAGGTTTCTAAATTTGACAGTTTTTGTAAATAGCAGGCCTTCGGCCGGGGCTTAACATTATCTACTCTGGGTATGTCCTACACCGGCTAACGCGAACCGAAGTTTTCTAAATTTGACACTTTTTGTAAATAGCAGGCCTTCGGCTGGGGCTTGATATATTCTACTCTGGGTATGTCATACACCGGCTAACGCGAACCAAATTTTCTAAATTGTATACCTTTTGTAAGTAGCCGGCCTTCGGCCGGGTCTTGAGATGTTCTCTTCTGGGTATGTCCTACACCGGCTAACGCGAACCAAAGTTTTCAAAATTTGACACTTCTTGACCGGCCTTCGACCGGGCTTGAGATTTTCTCATCTGAGTATGTCCAACACATACCGCAAACCAAAGATTTCTAAATTTGATGCTTTTGTAATCCAACGACGGCTACTCGAAATAAACCTTTTTTTATTGAAAACATAATTTTAATGAACTAGTTTGAATCGGGTTATGCGGATGGAAAGACCCATATCTCTGGACCCGAAAAAGGTATTAGCACAAAATGTAGCATTTTGGAAAGGTAAGAGTGTCAGCCCCATAATGGAGCATTTTTTGACTTTTTGGGGGTTTTATAAAAAATCCGGGTCCAAAAAATCGATAATTGGACTATAACTTCCGAACCGTGACCACTTACTCCATGTGACCACTTGTTGGATAGGTATTTTCATGAGCTTTATCGGCTAATTGGATCTAGGTCTAGTCGGGGTCTTGAACTCGGACTTTCGGGCCAAAAATCTGGGGTCCCGGCTCCGTCCCCCAAGAAAAAAATAGTTTCTCGGGATCAGGTAAAAATACCTACCACTGGAAGAAATTTCGAGTTTTTTCTAAACTAGAGTTAAGCCTTTAAAAGTACAACTAAACGAAAGAAAAAAGCATCTACCTGTATTCTTTTGCCATGCTCTTTAATCTCTATCATAGTTCGACATATGTACGACGGAACAAGTTTGATGTTTGTACTACAATCGAATCGGACATAAGATTTATCGATAAACGGTTCTTCGGGAATCGGCTTTTAAATCCCTGTAAATTTCTCTGGGCATAGATAGACAGAGTACGAAGCCGATCGGCTCGCAGTCGGCGCACAGCCGCCGATTTTTTTTAAGTCATCTGAGCCGCCGCCGATACATGCGGCTCTCATTGGCTCAAATCTTTAGCCGACTGAGTCGACTAAGCCGTCGAAAAAAAATGCATGCAGCATGTTTGTATAAATATGCCTTTTAATCTTATCGATTAATACACTTATTCTTTCATAGTGGTAAGATTATTATGTCTTTGTGCATTTATTTTCTATTACAAAACCTTTGGCAACCTTTTGTATTTTACCAATTTTGATGGAGTGGCAGCGGGCGTCGAACCATTTTTATCAAATTAGTATATTTTTGTTATAATTATTGAAGTGCTATAAGCAACAAATGTACATAAAAACGTATACATTAATTTTTATTCTAAACTAAATGAATAGAAAGTTATTAAATCAAACAAAATCATTTTTTAATGTTAAAGTCGTTGACTTTTAGCCACCGAAGGCCTTATATTGCTTTAGCCGCCGCCAATTCTCTTTCGGCTGCAGTCGACTTTTAGCCGCCGCCGCCGGGAATTTCACATCGGCTTCGCCCTCTGTAGATAGACATTAATACAAACAAATTTATATAATATTTAGAAAGAAAATCAATTAACATATATAATTAACAATAAGAATAGCAAGAGAGCGTGTGGAAAAATGCTACAGATACCGAGTAACTGTGCAATGCATTGTATCCACAATTAAAAGACGACCGGGGCGTGTTGTGTGCTTGTATAAGTGTGCGGAATATCATAAAATTGTAAAAGTATAGTTTTCACAAAAAGGTGATAAAAAGTGAGTGAGTGTTTACGGAACCAGAATATACCTACCAAATGATAAAAATGTAATCAAAAGCTAAATGTGTGTTTAGCCCCTCAGTATTCTTTAAAGAGGTCCCCATAACATTTCAGATTTACTTTCCTATTACGATTTTCGAGTAATTCTGACCCTTAGTCACCCACAAGATAAGATCAACAAAGTTTGTATGGTTGTTCGAATATCTCGGATTTTTATTAGCCCGTGTAGTACATTAACCCAATACATGTAAATAGTCGTTGGAAATCAATGGCAATGTAGAATTGAGAAAAACCAAAAAATATAAGTATAGCAAAAACCTTTGGACAAAATGTCAATGTCTCATTTGAAGATTTTACAATTTGAGTGCAGTATAAATGCAATAAATGCTTGTCTGTGCAAATGTAGACTTGCAAACTGATGTTGGTAGCAGAGCAATAGCTGTTAACATCCGTCCTTAAGGAGTACTGTGCAAATTTTCGATTCAAAGGTTTATCCTTGCTCTAAATATAACATCATATGGATTAAAATCATGTGTATGTGGATGGCATAATATTTTTACCGTGTCGAATATACAATTAAACTATTTTTGGCTACCTCTTTCAAACTGCGTCACTATCCCATCTTTGTAAACCATGAAAGAAGATTTCACCCAAGGTGTTTCGAATTCCATGACGAATTGTATAACTTGGTCTAGTTTAGATAAGAATTTATATGATAATTTCGCTAAGAGTCAGCAGTCAACATTCGTTATCTATGTGATTTTCATTTGTTTCATTATTGTCATTACCATGTATTATACCCGCATTTCTCGCAAACGTAGTCATGCATTCGGAAGCGTTCATTTTATAAATAAATCAAAATATACTTTTCTGTTGATACCCAAAGGGCGTTCGGTTGAGTCATCGTCAATTTCTGAAGACTTTTGTTTATAAAATTGTGTGAAATTCTGTTGAACGGACGTGGATCCTGAATTGTAAAATAGCCGTATGTAGTGCTTCAAATTCTTACACAGCTGAAATCGTTAATGCAACGTTGCAGTAACCATGACAGGACTTTATATCTTATCATACTAGCACGTATATTTTTAATAACAATCAGTTTCAGATCTCAAAGTTTTCATGGAATTTTGACGAAACCGTTTGTGATTTTCTATTGGTATTCAATCTACTTAAACAATTTCGTAACTTATCATGGTAATCAAACTAATACAAGTCTAAATCGTTATCAATCGTTTTTGACTTCGAATACAGAGCAGAAACCAATTAAGATAACTTCCCCTTTTTAATCATTACTACTATTATTTAGATCGTGTAAAACGAAAATAATTTTTCCAACATTGTTTCAGGAATATAGGTGCCATAGGAACCCTTGGATGGACTAAAATAAACGGGATTCAATAACTTTTCATGCACAAATATTTGCTGGAGGCTCGAAAATTGAAACAATATATACGAGAATTACTCTTTGAGTACAAATTAACGTACTTTAATCGCAACTATTGGCACGTTATATTGCCGTTATGAATTCGAGCACCAAGCATCTCCTGCATTGTTCATTGCTGATTGCAGTTATATTTGGATTTGAAATATTTTCAGGTGGAATTAAGATCGACGAGAATTCTTTCACTGTTCTAGATCCTTGGGTGGAATATGGCAAAATTGCCACAGTTCTCCTTTACTTACTTCGCTTTCTCACCTTCCTCACCCTGCCGCAAGTATTATTCAATTTTTGTGGTTTAGTCTTTTACAATGCTTTTCCCGAAAAAGTTGTGCTCAAAGGCAGTCCCCTGTTGGCCCCATTCATTTGTATCCGCGTTGTAACAAGAGGGGACTTCCCAGACTTGGTCAAAAGCAATGTATTGAGGAACATGAACACCTGCTTGGACACAGGGCTGGAGAACTTTCTAATTGAAGTAGTGACGGACAAAGCCGTTCACTTGGCTCATCACAGGCGTATACGAGAAATTGTTGTCCCGAAGGAATACAAAACGAGAACCGGAGCATTATTCAAGTCGAGAGCTCTACAATACTGTCTGGAGGATAATGTTAATGTTCTCAATGATAATGACTGGATAGTACATTTGGATGAAGAAACATTGCTAACCGAAAACTCTGTGCGCGGCATTATAAACTTTGTTCTGGACGGGAAACATCCCTTTGGGCAGGGTCTAATAACCTACGCCAATGAAAATGTTGTAAATTGGTTAACAACCTTAGCCGATAGTTTTAGAGTGTCCGACGATATGGGTAAATTGCGACTACAATTCAAGCTGTTCCACAAACCCTTATTCAGCTGGAAAGGGAGCTATGTAGTGACTCAAGTAAGTAGAAATACGGTGGCCAACTGACCTACAGCTTGGTAATATATACATTTATTGCAGGTGGGGGCGGAAAGACAAGTATCTTTTGACAATGGCATTGATGGATCGGTTGCTGAGGATTGCTTCTTCGCAATGCGCGCTTTCGCCCAAGGATTCACATTTAATTTCATTGAAGGTGAAATGTACGAAAAGTCGCCGTTTACTCTGTTAGATTTTTTACAACAACGCAAACGTTGGCTGCAAGGTATTCTTTTGGTGGTACACTCTAAAATGATACCCCTTCGACATAAGCTGTTATTGGGTATAAGCGTTTATTCGTGGGTGACAATGCCGTTGTCCACATCAAATATTTTATTTGCCGGCCTGTACCCAATACCATGCCCAAACATTGTAGACTTTGTATGTGCCTTTATAGCGGCCGTCAACATCTATATGTACGTATTTGGTGTCATAAAATCATTTTCGCTATATCGGTTCGGTTTGGTAAAATTTTTGGCATGCGTCCTAGGAGCTGTTTGCACAATACCAGTCAACGTGGTTATTGAAAATGTTGCGGTTATTTGGGGATTGGTGGGCAAGAAACATAAATTCTACGTGGTACAGAAAGATGTACGGGCGTTAGAGTCCGTAGTAGTTTAGAATGGTGCACTATTATAAGCTTAGTAACTCAAAGCTACATTTTTTTTTGTGATAGGGCCCAAATTTAAGGCTTAATCTACGCTGCATCCAATTGAAAAATGTATTTCTCCAAACCCTCCAAATATCGAAAGCCGCTGCTAGATTCCAAATACAAAATTATCTTATTAATAGCGATGTAATTGGAAGGCTTTTCCTCGCGTCACAATACATTTTTGAGGAACCACAGAACAAATATTCACGCACATGCAAACCCTCACAAACCAATTTTCACCTCCTTTCTCTAGAAAGGATCACAACCATATTAAGTATCTTTTAGTTCTATTGTATTGTACGCCTCTAGTTATAAGTCGAATCGTATATTTATTATTACTATTTCCATCCTATCGATACTTGTCTCGTTTGTACGTTATAGAATATGTATCTAGAAAAATTAGTGTCGTAAAAATCGAAAATTAGGCGACAAATAAAGCAAACCCCGAATTTGTTCAGCTTTCGATTTAGGGGATTTGTCTTGATTTCCAAAGAACACAATGTTCTTAGTATACATATGTTGTCTATGCCAAAGTATTATTCGAAGGTATGTATTTTATACATGTATATAATTTACTATAGATGTGTTTCATAACACACAATATTTGTGTACATAAGCTATAAAATGATCCATGCGAAAAGAGTTTCCAAAAACGAGTACGCCGATATTTAATGAAAACTGTGTTTTCTTCTTCAATGTACTTATTCCATACCTATGTTTTACAAAATCCTCAACAAACCAAAATTAAATTATAATATATTTCACAATCCATTTGAGAAATTACAATATTAAAATGTCACATTACTATATACCCAATTCTTGACACTTGGCATTTTTATCTGCTGTTTCATTTTTAACGATGTCCCGTCCTCTAACAAGAATCTCACCCCACTAATTAACTTATAACTTTTGTTATAATTTATTAACAGCGGGGTCACCAACACTGACATATTTAATTGCTCTTATTAGAGAGAAAAGATGCTACAATAATTGTTCATATGCCCACGTATGTGTCAATGTGCGTATAAAAGCATAGACAATGTTATTTCCTTCAAGTCGATCGAGCAGCTCCATTAATTTTAGAATGGACAAATAACACATATATGTATAAACGATTATTCGTGTTGCTATTATAAATAACATATAAAGCTAAAGCATCTTTGTATGGGACACATAGCCCCATTGTATAAACTGTTGCAAAATTATACTGTAATTACTACAAATAAGTTAAAAATGCATGTAGATTGTATTATTCTTTATTTGTTTCAATATTTTTACCTAAGTTATTGAATATACACAAAAACACACACAGAATTACAGATAAAATCAGTATTTGAAATTTAATTTCTTTTTTTTTTAGATAAAAACAAACGAAATAATGAAATATCAATAAGATAGAATAAAAAATATATTGTCTTGTTAAATTCACAATTAAATTATTTTATGGCTTTATGCAATATAACATCACAAAAAAGAGAACAATACCAAAAATAAACCTTTATTACAAAACATCTATATTTTTATTTTTTAATTTGGGACAGCAGAATTCACCATTTCTTAAACAATCCAATATTCGTCCGACTTTGTCATTGCGCATTATTTATGCATATCAGACTGTATCCATTTGTACCATTTAAGGACTCTTTCAATGATATTTATGTATGAGAAATTGTAATGTTCATTAGAATGGGCTTTGGGCGACATTGGAAGAGCGTTTCGATTTCGGTGCAACTTCTGACCAAAAGTATGGAGTGGTTAACATGTTCTCTGTCCGAAGTGTGTGATGAAGTCCTTAAGTTTTTGGCGGCTTTCGGATCCTGCTATTAAGGTATTCATGGACATTTGAATTGTCAACAAACATTTTTTTGCCTAATATTAGCCATTATACTTAACAAAACGGCGATGGTGCTGAAATGTTTTTGTGGTTAAGGAACAGCGGCACACTTTAGGAAATATATGTAATCGTATACTTCATGTTTCCACAAATTGTAAGATGTAGAATACCTTACATGCAGTTTGGTTTCAATTTAAAAGGTATCTTGCTTTTTCACGATTTTCTAGCAATTGCTTGCAATTTTGAGAGATTTGGACCTACAGCTAACAACTATATATTCAGGGGATTTAATGTTCATTTGTTTTATTAAAATGAGAGCATTTGTCGAAAAAATAAAATAAAAAATTTAAAAAATTTTTGGGAATACTGAAAATTATGAATGAAAACTACAATGTTGAATGGCGTATGTACATTCAAACGAAAGTAAATTTTGTTTCCTCTCCCATCTGAGGTACACATTTTGCCCACGAGTTGAAATTTCTACAGAAAACTGGAAACAAAAGAGGCAATATTTTCAAAATTGTATCGGCAGAAAAATGGTTTGACAAGTGTCTCTCCAGCAGAATTTAAAAATAGAAAAATACTAAAATATGTTCAAAGTGTCAACATTTACACAAAAAGTTGAAAACATGAATGAAAATATTCATAAAATGAAATCTTTGGGAGATAAACAACAATATTTTCTACTCATATTACTGAGAATTCCATATATTTTCGTATAAATTGCCATTAAAATCAACAAACCAAAATTTTGAAAAAAGGAATCATTTTACATAAATGTTTAATTTTTTTTTTTAATATCAGTAGATTTTATATGTTTTCTTTACGAAGTCAATTGGAGGTAAGTATGATTTACGTTCTTCAAAAATTTTTTACAAATTTGAATAATTTTTCATCCAAAAATGTAAGTTCCAAAATTGGTTTGAAGTTCATTGTCCCAGCATGAATTGCGGCTCGCACATTAAAGCTATTAACAAATATAGCCATGAAATTGAATGATTGAACAGTTAGAATCATATTTTAGATAGAAAAATCCAGTCATTTTATTCACTTTTCGCCCTTGGAAAAAAATGAAAACAATAATTTTGAATGAGTCTGACAGGAAGCGGACATAGCCTCAGGGCTGTATTTTTGTAGTTTTACGAAGCTGTCCTACCTCCTTATTGTACCATGCTTATTGCTCCCTACTTCACATTTTCCACCTCAGCTTATTACCAAACGATCTGTCAATTAAATTTGAATTCGCTGCAACCAAAACAAACTTCAAAACTATGATAGAATACCATGGCAGAAGAATACAGGTAAATGCATCAACGCTTGGGAGCATTGATATGTCAAAAAAAAATTTAAATGTTTTTCAAATATAAGTAGATTTTTATATGTTTTCTTATACTACGTCATTCGGAGGCGTTTTTCAAAAGTTTTTACAAATTTAAATAATTTTTCATTCAACATTTTCAATTCCAAAATTGTCGACGCGTCTACCTATATTCTTCTACCATGGAGAATACGCATAGCTTCTGAAACAATGAACTGTCAAACCAATATTTAAATTGGAAATTTTAGAAGAATATAGTAGGAAAATGTATGGTAGAAGAATATAGGTAAATGCATCAAATTTCAAAATTGTTAAAATGATTTGTCAAAAATAAGTAGATTTTAGATAGATATTTTCAACAATTTTTCATTCAACATTTTTAATTTCAAAGTCGGTTTGACAGTTCATTGTCTCAGCAGCTGCGTCGATACGTTTACCTGTATTTTTCTATCATATGTTATACATACAGAAAATTGACAGCAAACGTATTCGCACACACACACAAAATTCTTCTGTATCTGTAATATATTATTATTAAATATTTATTTTCGCCTCAAGCTTGAATTTTGACATTTCATTTGATAGTTAGCAACTACTTCCGCGCTCTTTAGTGAATATGTTCAATTTTCCTCACGTCTCATTCGTAAACAACAGAGTACCTCGAGTCTTTGCTTTCTGTTTATTTTTTATCGATCATTCCTTCGTTTCGTTGGGACGTTTTTCATTTTTGCTTTCCACGCTCGGGAGACGAAAATCAACCAACCAACCATACGCCCAACATCAAAGGAAGTTTGTAGAGAAATTGAATTGGCTACTCACGAAAACCCTATTGTAAGCGAAATCCGAAATCCACGAAATCGAGTGTTGACTCTTTTCTTGAACACAATTCCATACAATGTCGGACGAATATTCCTATTCTTGTGTTGCCAAAGGAAAACTTAAATTGAAAAATGACGCAGGAGTTAAGAAAAAGAAGAAGAAGAAAAGTAAGGACAAAGAAAAGGAGCGAGAAGATTTGCAGCAAGCCCTTTCCAGCGAACGATCCAGCAGCAATAGCATATCATTGACTAAAGCCGAGATAGCATTCAAGCAACAACAGGAAAAAATGGTAATAAGAAACATAAAAAGTCACAGAATGTTTAATAACATATAATCTTTTAGCGAAATAAACGGATTCTTGAGAAGGCAACAACCACCCATAAGGAGAGAGTAGAAAAATTCAATGAACACTTGGACACGTTAACCGAACACTTTGATATCCCGAAGGTTTCTTGGACCAAATAGGTACATTGTTGTGTAAATACGTCGGCCTCAGCTATGTATTTAATAAAATAAACAAACCGTATTTTGAGGATTTTACCTAGTGTGTTAGTTCTTGGTACAATAGGCCGTGTAGACTTTTATATCGTCAGCGAAAATAATTCTTGCAGTTTTTACGACGTACCATTATTCTACAATTACAAAGACAACTTTATTTTAACAGATTAACAGGTTTACACCTCAGATTTGTATATATATATATATATATATATATATATATATATATATATATATATATATATATATAAATATATATATATATATATATATATATATATATATATATTATATATATAATATATATATATATATATAATTGTATGACTTGACATTCTACCATGGATACGCCATAACAAATTAAGTAGTCGCTCCGATCTACCGTTTTTCTGTATCACGGACGAAATTTATTTATTTAATACTTGAATATGTTATACAGAGTTTGCAATAAAGGAAATGCTTTATTTGCTGTGCAAATGCCTCGAAAATCGTCCGTGTTTAAAGAAAATATCATTGCACCACCCAAACCATGTTTTTTAATGAAATCACCTTTGCATGATATGCTCTGTGTGTTCTCAAATGAAATCCATTCAGTTCCGCTGCTTGCATAGGGAGAGCACGTATCTTCGTCGAATTTAAATGTCGAAAGAACATTTTTCTTAAGAAACCAGCATGTTTCAGATGCTGATACAAATCCTTGGTTACCAGTGTAGCCATGTCCAGAAGCAGGAGCCCCAATCTTGGTATTGAATGGATTCACCAAACTGTAACAAAAAAGACCTTTTTAAATAATTTTCTATTGAATTTTGTCTTTTTTACCTAAAGGAATGTCCGTATGTGGGTAATCCGACAACAACTTTTTTTGGTTCCAATCCGTTTGTAATCCACCAATTAACAGAATAATTAATGTTGAATGTGGACAATATGGAATGTTCATTGTTACGCCGATAAAGTGGTGCATTGATTCCTTAAAATAATTCATGTATATTGCTAGTAATGGCTTTTTATATAAGTATGTACCTGTAAATGGTGTCCCCTTTGTATAAAAATGATAATCATATGACATTATGTTAACATAATCTGCGTATTTGTTTATTTCAGCTACATCGTACGAAAATACAGAAATACCTTCTGGGGCTGCCACGGCCACCGAGAGCAAATAGTTCCTTCTTTCTCGTTTGTACTCTTGGCGTATTTCATATAATAGTTGAGAGAAGTGCATGCGTTCACGGTTATATGCACTTGGAAATTCCCAATCCAAATCACAGCCATCCAATTTGTAGGCATATAGAATTGATTTCAAAGACTGAATGAATCGTTTTCGATTTTGATGGTTTTTAACCATTTCGGGAAATCCATCGCTAGCAGAATTTCCTCCGCCAATCCACAACAATATCCTTAATGTGGGGTATCTATTGCGCAATTTGGGCACATCATACAATAGGACATTGTTAAGGCCGTTACTTATGGCTATGGTTGACGAATTGCTTATGAGAGACATTCCCACATTTATGTGCGTGCATAGTGTACCATTCACATCCGTCAAATTTAAATCAGTGTATTGCTCATCGGAGTATGGTGTGGAATAATAGCAGACGATTAACGATCTATTGAGAACTGGACCAACTGCGTCCATATTTCTTGTTATGTACTCTTTTTCATCATCGGAATGTAGGTATTTAATACGGAATGTTGAATTTTTTACTAATCGAAAATCATGTGATTCTCCATTTTGTTCCTGATACGCTAAATTATACAAAGAAGCTCTTTGTGACCAAACAACTGGCGAGGGATACGGGTATGGATGGACATCGTTGTGAAAAGGACTATAAACAAATTCCCATACTTGATACACTAAGAATGTTGAAAATACGCACATACATATTAACAAAAATATGCGCAATTTTAAATGAGTATAGCTGTGAAATAAAAAAGACTCCATATTCGTCAATATAGTTTAATAAGAAGTATAAACAAACAGATTACTTTATTCCACTTGTTTCATCTATTAATTCGTAGGTGTTGGTGGTAGCCATTTATCGGTAATCAGCACAGGGTAATTAACAGCTCTGAAAGGTTTTTCTCTCCAGTTTGGTTGGAATGGATTATTTGTCATAAACATAATATTAACAGCTTCTTTGTTTTTAACACTTTATTTTTGTAATAGTTTTAATCTTATCGGACATTTAACAGAGACATTGATGTTGTTAGGCGTATGGTTGGTTGATTGTCGTGTCTCGAGCGTGAAAAAAAAAATAAAAACGTCCCAACGAAGCGATTATGAAGGCCACAAAGAATACCCGATAAAAAATAAACAGAAAGCAAAGACTTGGGGTACTCTGTTGTTTACGAATGAGACGTGAGCAAAATTGAACATGTTCACTAAAGAGCACGGAACTAGTTGCGCGTATTCACTTTTCGTTGACTTGACTTTTGTGCTGTCATTCCAATCACAATAATGCATAATCAGCTATCTTGGAAGGGGTATACTTAGGTCATGCTATCTGTCCATGGTATAATTATTACAGTGTCAAACTCGATATGACGTTTTGTGATTTAAATCCATTTCTTGATATACAATAGGTATACCCTTTTTTGATATAAAATTTCACTGCAAGGCAATGTGAAAATAAATGCCAAAGGCGAGGGTTCGGAAACTTTTTTGCGGTTAAGGAACGTTAGATAATATATTCGTATATTTCATGTACTCTAAAATTGAAAAATGTAGAATACTTTATGTATGTATGCTGTTTGGGTTCAACTTGAAAGGGATGTTGCCTTTTCCACGATTTTCTAGCGAGTGCTTGAAGTTTGGAGAGATTAGGACAAACAGCTAACAACTATACATTCAGGGGAATGATGTGAAAGCATTAAAATTAAATATTTTAAGAACTCTTCTTCTGCATTTTCTATTTAATAACCCAAATTCCAAAAATTTATATTTTTGAATTTAAAATAATTTATTGAAAATTAATTATTTTGTTTACATTTTTGGACACATAACTCTGACACTTGTATTACGTACAAAAACAAATTTGCATGTGGTTGTTGTTACTATTGTTGTACAACATCACTTGTTGTTACCTATATTATTCTACCATGCTATCTGTCGATAAATCCATATACACCATAAACAGTTTGTTTTCGCCAGTGCCTCTTTTGCAATGGTGACCCCATGTGTGGGCGAGGTTGACAGTTTGAAAGTAGAGGCTATGTAATCGCATCACTTTCCCATAAAACCTCCATCTAAAACTAAAAATTATATTATATATTATGTTATTATATTATAATTTTAATAATGTCATTCATTGCAATTCTCAGTGGGTAAAATACTCAGAAAGAACATCTTATATGGATTTTCAGGCAATTCCACTATACGATACCGTGGATATATCAAAAGACTGATCTTATTAGCTTACAATCTTTCCTATCTTAATTCATTTTTATTCTAGCGTGATTACCTCAGACGGACGTACATGGCCAAATCGTATTTACGCTGATCATACATTGTTTATGGAGGTATAAAAACCGTAACAGGGTAAATATATTATATATTATAAATTTATATATAGACCGATATATCGCCATCTTCACAGCAGATCTTGCATTAGCATCAGGATCCGGGAGGGACCTGAAGGAATGGTCCGATCTCCATTATCTTACAAATGACGCCACTTTATATCCTTGGTGTCCAGTCCAATTCTTATCCAATTCCTTGATTGTTTTATTGGTTTCATACCTCCTTTCTTAACCTTATTGGTGTTCAGAAGTTGATTGTCGTGATGACTCGTTTTGGAGATCTATCTAAATCAAATCAGAAAATCTCCAACTTTGTTCTACCAAAACCTGATTTTGAACTAAGTATTGATATGAAAATGTTCGCGAAGACCCCTTATTTAATTCTAGTAGTCCATTTTGGGCGAGGTTTGTATAGGGAAGACTCCAGAGCCGATCTTTTGTCCTGACCACCGGTCAGATCTAACTGGAAAATTATGCTAATTTATAATTTTATTAAATAATTATATCATTTTATTTGTTTTCTCTATTTTTCATCAACACCGTTGAAGAAAAATTTCTAAAAGTGAAATCGGGGTGTTCTATCTCACACTTGCCCTTTTCCAGTACCAGCAAGAATCTACTAGGGTTGCAATTTTCTTCGGTATCATAAAGGGAAAATCGGTTATCGTAGTGAACATTTTACATTCTCGCAGTTCTGGAACACACCGTGATTGCTAACTTCGGAATCGGTTCACACCATGTAGTCGACTAATCAATTAATCGGTCGTATGTTGACTTCCATAGTAGCAACTAGTTCCGCGCTCTTTAGTGAAGATGTTCAATTTTCTTCAAGTCTCATTCGTAAACAACAGAGTACCCCGAGTCTTTGTTTTCTGTTTATTTTTTATCGGGTATTCCTTTGTGGTCTTCATATTCGTTTCGTTGGGACGTTTTTCGTTTTTGTTTCCACGCTGGCAACGAACAAGTTGAAGGGAGAGATCTATCTATCTATCTAATACGTCAAAAGAAGGAAAGATGACTTCGGCTACGGTAAGAAATGTAAGAATTTTTCAGTGAGTTCAATCAATATGTTAATGTGTGGAATGGTGAAGGGTACAAAGTAAAAATTGTCTTGTCCAATTTATACAATGAACGAAAATGTAAACAAATCGATTGACAATGCCTTATTTTAGGTCCCACTGCTTGATGACGATACCATTCCATTTGGAGAAGAGGATGAGATGCGAGATCCAAGTACCGGAGTTAAAAGATATTCGTACGAAAAAAATACAATACACATTTACATTTCATAAGATAAACTCATTGATTTTAGGCATCCGTACGTCACCTTCTTTCATCTGTTCTTTCGCTGTGCCGCCATTGTGATATATATGTTCTGTGGTTGGTTCAGCGATTCCTTCATAACCAGCTTTGTTTTCGTAGTATTATTTTTATCGGCTGATTTTTGGACAGTGAAGAACATTACCGGCCGTTTGCTGGTCGGCTTACGTTGGTGGAATTACGTAGATGATGAGGGTGTATCCCATTGGCTATACGAAGCTAAGAAGGTAAATACGACGAACAAATTATATTCATTGTGAAACGTAATTCAAGTTGACATATTTCATTGTTTTAATTTTATCGTATGGATTTATAGAGTAGTATCAACGAGTTAAAGAAATGATCGCCTTGCCAATAACTATTATGTTATTATGTTTGATTACATTTACACGTTTCTTGAATACCTTGTTGTTTTTAGATCTGGAATCTGTTGAACATCATAATTTCATTTTCAAATAACTCTTTTATCAATAATTATATTTTCTATGTTATAGGGAAAAGTAAACAATCATGAGGCTCGAATATTCTGGCTGGGATTGATATTATGTCCAGTGTTTTGGAGCCTTTTCTTCATTGTTGCTTTGTTTGGATTGAAGTTCAAATGGCTGTTGCTGGTAATGATTGCACTTGCTCTAAACGGGGCCAATTTGTATGGCTACGTTAAATGTAATTTTGGAGCCAACAAAGATTTGAATTCTGCGGCCACTGACTTTGTAAAGACACAAATTTTCAAAAATGCTATGGAAATTATGACTAAGCCAAGCGCTCAACCCACAACTGCAAGGCCAACAGGTGTAATATAATTCATTTTTCAAGAATTCCTAACGCATTTGTAAATATATTTAAGGATGAATTGAATTACATTTTCGTACATTTGGGGCATACGATTGCCTTAAATGAAATTTATTTAGCTAAAATAATATATAACATACTTATTAAAAGATAATAAACATATTTTGACAACACTAAAACGTTGAATAATTACAGAGTGATCACACGTACTTAAAGCAAAATGTATAGGTGCATACATCATGTCTTCATTTTTAGTAAATCTTGGATTTGAATTCTGTATGCTTCTTTGCATTCGTTAAGGTCCATTTCAAGCTCTTCACAACGTTCCACTTTTTCGCCATACATTTGCAATAGGGCATCGTATCTCGTTTGCAGATCGTTATAATTATTTTCCATCAACTCGTAAGACTGAATTTTGTCCTTGATCTAAAGACATTAATCGTATGTAAGATATTGTATAAGTTCATTCAATGCTAAATACAAAGTAAAAATACATCCATTCCAATTGCTGTTTGTTGAGAGAAACATTTTAACATCAGAGCTTCAATGTGCAACCAATGTAAAGTTGCCATCATAACGTTTGCAGTTGCATTGTCGGATAAGGCTAACTTCCGCGGCAAAATTACATAAGTCAATCTCGAACAAAACATATAGACAAAAAAGTAATTTTAACAAGGATTGTGTTGAGACAAATCTTCCTACTGATCAACTGATGGCACACATGATGCAACTCAGACATTGGAAAGATTCAGATCATCAGTCGAATTCGATTGAGGAATGGCATTCATTTTTTAAATATACGAAGTATTCTATGGATTTTAATAACATGTATATGATTTTATACCAATATGAACAATTGAATCTCATCACTAAAGTTTATTGAGGGCTAGAAGAGCGTGCTCTTGCTTTCGCAAAATAAATATCCTTTCACGTAAAGGTTCTTGTAATATTATTGGATGTTTTCTTTTTACCATAAGTTCAGTAAATAGAGATGAATTGGAAATTTATTTTTTCCAAGATTTTTATGCTGAGAACTTACACAATCTTGTTGGAAAATTACTTCATTTCAATATTTATTTTATTTCAATAAATTATTAATAATGCCTTTCTCTCGAATAAATATGTTTCAGTTCTTACGAAACAATTGACCGGATTGACCATTTCATATACGTCACATAAATACTGACAAAAAAGTTAGCCTGACAAAAAGTTCTTTCGTAAACATATGTGTCGGCTCAGCATAGACTAGGTGTATTTTACAATGAGCACTTACTTACATATTTGTGAGAAAAATTTTTAGGTTTTAAAAGGCTCACTCCAAGATTTTTATAATTAAAAAAAAAATTTGTCAAATGAGTTAAATTATTTCCAAAATCAACTTTAAATTAAAATGATTCCTTTGAAAGACCACATTATTAAATTTTTATATAAAGTTATTTTTTTAATTATAAGCTGTTTTAACAGATGAATACACCTAGAGATAAACTCTCCACTCGTTATTGCACGAGGAAAAGTCCGAAAGGCTTGTATAAAGCCTACAGTTAAACCTTCATATGAAATTTATGCCACAATCAACAAGAATGACTCATATTTGCATTTTATGCTTTAGCAATATTACTTTTTGTGTCAATCTCGTACAAACATCCAACCCCGCATCAAACCGACGCAGATACTGAAACTTGTGACTTCTTACTATTGCTCCTCGTTAAATGACAATAATGCTTCGCACGCCCATATTGCTCGACTGTATTTTGTGGGTAAAATGTCAAATTTTAAAAATCTTTGACTTTGCAACTATTGGTACCAGAAAAAGGCGTTTTCTTACATCGTATTCAGCAGAAAAAATATCCTTCGTCATTCAAATAATACAATAATAATAGTTAAAAGATTCTTACTTACATTTTCCATTTCTAATGAAAGTTGGGCTAGTTCTTCTTGAAGCACATTTTTTTCAACCTGTACTCGTGAAAGTTCCCATTGAGTTTGAGCCAATTCACCTTCCCTTTGTTTTAGCATGGATTGCAAATATTCAAAATTATTGGTCGTGTTAGCTGCTATAAAATGGAAATTTAATCCTTGGCCAGCCACCGGTCTACCACCGGGATTAGAAATGCAATCGAAATCATCCTGTTTAATAGAGTTAAAACATATGCAATTGTATAAGATATGAAGGTCAAACCTCTTGGTGTTGCCAATCAATACTGCCTCCATCTTCAATAGAATTAACACCTCCACTTGCAGTGGGTGAATGCCTATTTGCATCGACTGAAACAGAATTTCGCAACTCGGAAAATGAGGGTGCGGTTTGTTCTCGCTCGTGCTGTAAACATTCAACGGATGCTGTCAGCCTACTTTCTGCTTCATCAAGATTTTCTTCCAACACTCTAATTCTTGACCGGGTTTGCTCCAATTCTTGCATTAACTCTGAAAGTTTTCTACAATGGTACAAAGAACTAATTTAGTACTGATTCTTCTTGCGATTTTACGTACGTATCAATTTAGATGTTAAATACCTGCTGTAGTCCGTTTCTCTTTTATTCATTTCCAATTGTAGATTAATTTTACATTGTTCTTCTTTCATTATTGCATTAGACAATTTATCTTCTAAATCCTGACATCGGGATCTCAGCAATTCAATTTGTTCCTTTGATGTTTCTTCAATGTGTTCCAAAGACTGAAGACGTGTTTTGGCAGCATCCAGTTTATCTAATAAAAACTTTTCTTCCTTATTCCACTTATTGGTCCGCTGATTCAGTGTTTGTTGTAGGGATTCCAAATGACGCATTAGAGGAATAGTAGTTTGGCTTATTTCGTGAGTAGATGATTCTGCCCTTAATTCTGCTGCTTCCAAACGATTCATAAGACTTCGATTTTCTTCTCGCAATTGTTGTTCCTTCCTAATTGCGGTCAGTTCTGTTGACCTCAACTTATCAGCAAATTCTTGGAGCTGTTTTTGGAGTTCTTGATTTTCTGCCTGAAGTTGTGACTTTTCCTTTTCAATCGCTTGAATTGCGGTTCGTGAAATGGAAAGATCGGAATGTTGCTTAGAACGCTGTTGCAGTTCAACTTTAACTGCTTCAAAACTATGCTGTAATGTGATTAGTTTTTGTTGTGTGTCCTCCAACTTGCTCCGTAGAGAACTATTTTCTTTTTCCAGTTTTTGATTGTCTGAAGACATTTTATGCACTGCTTCTATTTGAGTCCTCTCCACATCCTCCTTAGCTGAAAGCGTTTTCTTAAGCCTATCTACTTCTTCATTGGAAGCAGACAATTGATCTGTCATTGACTTAATTTGCACCTCGACGCTTTTTTCCTTGGAACGCAGTTTTTTGATAATGTTAGATTGCTGCAAAATTTCTTTAGACAGTTTCTCTCCTTCTTGGCGTAGTTCTGCTACCATATTTTGGCTTTCGGTTAAAGCATTGTTCAAATCGTTTTTTGGAATTTTTCCTTGCAACTCCTTGATTTCAGCTCTTAACGTATCCCTTTCAAGTATACAATTCTGGAATTTTTTTTCCAACGCTGATAATCGTTTGGTGTACTCTTCTGTGGGCGGCATGCCATCTTCATTTATTAATGAAAGTAGCTCGTTATTGCGTTCCTGTAATTCGGAATTGCGCTGTTCCGATTGAAGTAAACGCAATTCTCTTGCCTCTACTATACTGTTCAATTCAGATATGCGCTTTAGCAGCTTTTCTACCTCATCTTCAGAAGGAGAATCTATTGAAAACATTGAAATTTCCGATGGTTCACGACAGTGCCCCACCTTGGCAGAAGATTCTCCTGGCGTCCCTTTTGGCTTTATCCCGACATTCGCATTCTTTTCATCTTTTTGTGGGCTGGTCCTTGTTGTGGTGCTGGGATTCGAAATAATTTCAATATCAGAGGAAGTAGCTGTTTCCATTTCGTCATTTGATGTTTGTGCAGAGGGTGTATTGCTAACATATACCTTTTCATCAATACTGAAGCTTTGATCGCTTTTTGTTAAATTCAATTGCACATCTTCGAAGCTTTGCGTTGAGTCGGAGTCAATTGTTTGAAGTTCGTAAGAAACTTCATCCCGAATGTTTTGATTACACTTTTTCTCAACTTTTTTTGATTTATCTACATCTAAATAGAAACTAATAATTAGTACATTTTTAAAAGTTTCTGTTAAAATCAAAAAACCCAAAAAAGGAGTTCTTTGGATTGATTACGAAAAATTATAAATTTACCAGTCTCTGCTTCACCTTTCTGATTTGAATCGTCGGGACAGACGTCACCAGAACTTCCAATAATAACTATACTCTCCGTTGCAGCATCCGGAAATACGGTCCCAGAATCTGAAGTCATATCTCCAGTAACCAGCACATCGACCGATTCGGATCCATCCCGTTCGTCGGGGCACAAAGTGGTCTGTTCCGCTGATAAAATACCAACAGAAGAATCCAATGTCAAAGCTGTTGAAGTGTTTTTATTTTCTGAAACATCTACGACGTCATTTTCACACTGTGTCGTTCCTACGTTGTCTGCATCTTCCTCTTGGATATCCAAAACTTTGTCAATTTTCTTTTGAGCCTCCTTCAGTGCTTTGGCAAGGCTTGCAAAGTTTTTGGTGTCAAACCAACTCATATTTCCATGTCACGCAACACTCCAACACTACACTCACTTAGAAACAAATTGAAATTGAACTACTTTCGAAGGGAACCCAAAATGAAAGACGTCCCCAACGAAACGAATATGAAGGTCTAAAACGAATACTTGATAAAAAATGAAGAGAAAGCTAAATCTCCGAGGGACCTCTGTTTACGAATGAGATATGAAGAAAATTGAACACATTAACCAAGTCACTTGGGTTCATAAAAGGAACTATTTTCAGACTTTTCGTTATCTTAGACAGCTTTTACACATAAGCGTTAACACGGGACTTTTTTTCTCCCTCCTTTGGGTTCATTCTAAGGCCCAATAATAAAACATCCATACGAAATTTCTTGTCAAAGAGTAAAACAAACGTCGCATGAAAAATCAAATACGATTGAAAACAAAGACAAGTAGCGCTTAAAATATGCAAAATCTATTCGGGTTGAACGGCATTGAAAATTTATATCAAAAAGCTATATCCTGTTGTATATCAAGAGACGGAATTAAATCAAAAGACGTCATATCGAAATTTACACTAGTATTACTAAAGAGTCAAATCAGCTGGGGTTTATCATTATTCCCATACTCCCATGGGGCAATACATTGTACAATTTTAGGATGAATCTGTATTGTCCTACTATTTTAGATTCAATCTTGTGGTATTTTGGGGTTGAACCACGCTTTTTTGATTGGCTTATTTCATCGGCTGTCTTTTTCGTAGATGAACAAAGAAGTTTCAGGTTGACTTAGTTCGATTTTGTACAAAGTTCCCTTGTTCTATTCTCACTATAAGGCCTATGTGGTATATGTTTTCAACAAACTCTTTTAACTAAAATAATTTTTCGTTCCTACTTTTAAATTCCCAGAATGTTTTTTAAAGTTCAATGTACCAGCCACAGTTGACGTAGGCTACAATTGTTGCATTTGTAGCAGCAAAAAAATTCGACTTAAGGGTGGAAATACATAAAGCGCATATTTGGCTGGCTTAAGTCATCGGCTGGTTTCTGCGTAGATGAACAAAGGAGTTTTAGGTTGACTTAGTTCGATTTTGGCTCTAGGCTCCTTTGTTCATTTCCGAAGAAGCCAGCCGATGACTTGAGCCATCCAGATAAGCGCTTTATGTATTCCCATCTTAACGACCTTACGACAATACTAATGCCGTATGTAGATTCCATACCGGATGTAGCGCTTATATGCTATTGAAGATTAAGCCACTAAGTTTATTACATCCCGTGTGCTAATCTTGTGTTTTTAACTATAACTTAAGGAGGATATAAATAAAAAACAACCAAAAATTATAGTAATACTAGTGTCGAATTATAATGGCGCTTTGCGATTAAATTCCACTTTTTGATATACAATGGGATCAAACTTTTTTAATATAAAATTTCATTATATTTTTTGTAGAACAACACTAGCTGTTACTGTTACACAACTGATGGTTGTGTGCCATGGTAGAATTATGCAGGTAACAGAATAAAGGTAGACGCGTCGACACAGCTGCTGGGACAATGAACTGTCAAACCAATTTTGTAATAGAAAATGTTAAATGAAAAATTATTTTAATTTGTACAAATTCTTGAAAAATGCATATCATAACAAACTACGATTGGCGTCGTATAAGAAAACTTATAAAAATCTATTTATTATTGAAAAAAAAAAATAAAATTTTTGACACATCAATGTTCCCAAGCGTTGATGCATCTACCTGTATTCTTCTACCATGCACACAACACAGAAATACAAATCAATTAAAGGCTTTCCTACAGAACCCTAACTAATAAGGATAAACGGCGTCAATATATATGTGTGTTTCGACTCTGTACTTAATTAAAAAATAAAATCATAGGAGTTAGTCTAACAAAGGACGGGATCCAAGATATTTTTCCATTTTCCAAAGTGTGTATCAAGTCTCTGAAATTGGTTTATATCTAATGAGCTGATCTGTTCGTCCCAGCGAGGATGGTGCCAACTTTTATAAAAGTTACAAGTATTGAAGTTAAACAAAGAAGTGAATTGCGAAAGCGTCGAGTTTGACTAGAAATTTGCACCAACGTGGAAGTTCAACGGGAGCACACAAGATTAATGAATGTACAATAAATAATTACTTAAATAGGAGTTGTAAAGAGCCTGTGCTGCTGGTTTCATTCCTTGTGGTTGTCGACTTTGTGTGTAAGTCTGATATTTTACTTTTTCTCCATTTGCCAGGGTTACCAAGACTATATTATAAATATAAAACCTGGGCTGACTATTTTACAAAAACTTGTGGACTTTTTGTTTTGAGGAAAAGTCGTATATATATTTTTTAGACGAGATAAAATTGTTTATATTTTCATTGATTACTAATGATTTTGTTAATCGGATATATAAAATTTAAGGTACGCCTCTTGCCTACACTGCCATACCTTAATAGTTAGAATACGTTAATAAAGAACGTAGGAAAATCGATAAAAAAATAGTTTATAAATTGAATTGCTACAAGAACGCTGATAGTAAATAGCTGAATATGTCAAGTAATCACTACCATAACCACAACTCATACAACATGGGAGGATCCGGCAGCGGCTCTAATCAGCACTACTCTAACGGTGACACTAAAAATGAGTTCAATAATCAGCACAATCAAGGGATTGTCCGCTTGACAAATGGTTACAATTTAAAACCGCTGGCCAATGTGGCTGTACCCGATATGTGCTTATTTTGCTTCCAAGTACTGGATTGTGAGTTAAATAACATTGAGGGACCAGGTACACCACCATTTACCAATGACGCTTAGTAAGTATCACATTGTAATTGTAATGTAAGTCGACATTAAACTAATTAATATTGTATTAGTCCTCTCTTTGTAACCTGGAAGACGGGCCGCGACAAGCGGTTACGTGGCTGTATAGGAACATTTAGCGCTATGCATCTTCACTCGGGATTGCGTGAATATGCCTTAACAAGCGCGTTGAAAGATTCTAGATTTGCTCCGATCTCAAGGGAAGAACTACCAAAACTGACAGTTTCAGTTTCAATTTTGCAAAATTTTGAAGAAGCAAACGGCCATTTAGATTGGTCATTAGGTGTTCATGGCATACGAATAGAGTTTATAAATGAACGCGGATGCAAACGCACTGCAACATACCTTCCGCAAGTAGCTACGGAACAAGGTATTTTTTCCATATTATTGGCAGCACCAACAGTATAACTTTTACTTTTTTTAGGTTGGGATCAAATACAAACAATAGACTCTCTCCTTAGGAAAGGAGGTTATCGAGCTGCCATTACACCAGAAACTCGTAAATCAATTAAGCTAACCCGCTACCGCTCTCAGGAAATTCAAATGAATTATAAAGAATATCGTGAAGTTGTCGAACGTCGGGGACAATACTGCAAAGTGCAATGCTAACAGCAACCGAATTGCAATTGGAATAGAATAAATCGACGAAAAGAAAGGTCGTATACATTTAATTTAATTTCAATATAAATCCTCTAGCCAAGTGGCACAGAACGAATATAATAATAGTTAATATAAGAAACCACATTAATTAATAATTGAACTCTTAACTTCTCTTTAAATAGCAAAACAAAATATGCGTATTCTGACGAAAAGAAACTTGTCAATTGTCAAGAACAATTGGAATACTTTCCGTCAATGGGTGTGTTAATTCGTATAGAAAGTAATTGTTTCCTGAATTTCCTAATTTATGCGTATATAAACTGTTGTCCCTAAAATTCTAATATAAATTCATTTAATAAAAATATATTGAAATAATTCAACAGGATTAATAGAATTTAAAGAAAAGGTGAGTAATTTGCACATCTTATTACTACAAATGTTCTTATAGATTTTATCCATTATCTGGGCATATTTTGAAAAATTTTGTGTACGTGGATAATGCTATATCAAGAGCAAATGACAAACAATTATGACCATAAAATTGATTGTCAGTTCTGAGAAAATACTTTCGAACTTGTCACTAGAGAGCCTCCTGTTAGATGACTTAGCCTTCTGCACTCAATACTATCCCTACAAACTTATCCACTGTTGCCTTTTTCACAACTCCTACCAGAAAATAATGTAGGGAATATGACTTGATAACACTTGTACTCATGATACAATGAAAAGGTAAGATAAAACTACCAGCTGATTACAATTTTTTTTCTGAGTGTGCCCGACTTCTGCCAATTTTGTGTATGTATTTATTGTTGGAAAAATGAAAACAAAATATTTTCAAAATCAATGGTTGGAAGAAACATAGATTGTGGGGAGCGCATTGAAGACATTTACCAGTTTAGCCATGGAATTGAAAGATTGGACATGATAACCGATTTTCCCTTTATGATATCGAAGAAAACTGCAAAGCTAGTAGATTCTTGCAGGTTCTGGAACAGAGCAAATGCGTTCGTAAGCAGGTTTTTTTTTTTCATAACACAACATAACATATTTACAGATTTGGGAGAAATTAAATTGTAGCGTTTAGGGATTGTAAAAGGATTCTGATCGCATCAGGAATTCGATAGTGGGGGAAATACGCGGCATGTATCTGACTTCTTTCAATTTTTTTATGTATTTATTGTTTTGAAAAATAAAAACACAATTACTCTGTTCCCGAACCTGAAGGAATCTACTAGCTTTTCTATTTTTTTTTCGATATCACAAAGGAAAAATCGGTTATCGTAGTAAAAAAATTATTACTCTTGGGGATCTGGAACACAGCTAATATTTTAAAAATCAATAATTGGAAAACGTGCATTGCGGGCGCGCGTTTATTATTGATTATTCCTGTAGGTTTACGAAGCTGTTGTACCTCGTTATTGTACCATGTTTGTACCTATAATAGTTCTGCTTAAGACTAAGCTAGCTTCCTTGCGAACTTTTTTTGTTGGAACTTGCCTCTTGCATTCATACTAATCAATTTCTTTTCATTAATTTTCGTTTACATTTTTTATTTTGTTACCATTTCTGCCACATTTTATATATCTTATAGGAGTTTCTCTCCTACAAAAAGAGACTTGCCGCAAGTAAACTTGTCTAATGTAAATTTGACCATGATTTGAAAGGAATTGGGTCACTTTCAATAGATAATTTTGCAATTGGTAACGCCACTTAACAATAGTTACTTTAACTATCGGATTTATCACATTAAGGCAAAATATCGATTATCGTGTGAAAAGTCGATTTGACTTTTCGGTTTTTACTACTTAGGGGCGAATGTCGACGTACGTATCCCTACGACAGACAAATTGCATAAAAACATAAAAACGCAAAATAAAATACGAAAAACATATTTTTTATTGAAAATAATATTTTTTTGCGCTCTAAGAAATTTGGCAAAGGATAGAATGGAATGAATACCACAAGGAATAGGCAACAAAATTAAAATAAGCTACCTTCAATACACACAGAAAAAGGAGACAAATAAAAAACATTTCCTTCACAATCCAGACAATAAATCACGGCTCGAGAAAATTGGGGTATTTTTGTGTTATTTTACTGTATATAGTGGGAAGTGTGTGTGGAGTGTTTTAAATCCAAGTGTATAAAACCAATGAAATTGGAAAGAATTCGCAGTCGATTCTAATAAAATCCCGCATATATAACAACACAGACAGCAGCAGAGCAGACGAGACAAAGAAAAAAGAAGTTCGATTCGACGACAAAAACAGTCGTTAAGTTGGTGCAATATGACTGTTGTATGAGTTGAAAGTGTAATTAAAAGTAAGAATTTATACAAAAGGGCTCAGAATTTGCACCGTTCTCGAAAAACGGGACTGACAGCTATTGCGTAGGTATTTAGAACTAAGTTATAAGATATTTTTTAACAACGAATGGGCGCAAAAGCAAGTACTCCCGCAAATAGCGGTCACCAGAGTCCTCGTTCGCGAACGTTTTCGAGTAGCTCTACCGGCGCAGAACTACAGAACTCATCTGTGGACCGGCAACGTGCCCGCAGTCTAAGTTCAGTACCAGACATGCATGGCCAGAACAGCAATTCATCAAGTGATCATCATAGCCAACAAACCCAAGGCATTACCACAGCTAATAGCAATAACTATGCCAGTTCATCAACGTCACAACAGGGTCACAACAATCACATGCAGCGTCACACACTGGGGGATAATTTACGAGTAAGTTGTTGGTCTGGATGCCTGAAAAACATTTGAGAATATTTCATACAATACCTTTTCAGAACGTTTCTATGGCCGGGGCAAGCTTTGTTGAGAGTATAGCACTGGCAGCTCAATCAGCTTCAAATGGTGCAAATATCGGCCGAGTATATACAGCAACATCACTTCCATCGCAAATTTGGTCCTTCAATGGTAAGTCAATTCAACAGAATTGGAATATAATGGTACTGATATTTTTTTAAGTTATTTATTTCAAAACGAGTAATATAAGGGATAGGTGTTGTATTTGAAACATTTTCTAAATTCTAAACACAACTTACAATGAACGACCTTGGACAGAAAATCAAAACAGCAAATCCGAAGCACGCGGACACTCTTCTAAGTGGTTAAAATTTTGTAGCGGCGGCATCAAAAAAATTGAATAAATATCAATATTTGACAATAATGGATTTATTTGAGATTTATTTGATTTTCCTTATAATATGAACTGTCTTGTTCGCGCTGAAGCACCCTTTTAATATAATAAATCATGCTTTCATAGCGAAATTTTACATAAAGATAGCTGACATTTTTAGTTACAAAATTTTTAATTTATTTGAATTTAATAACGGAAAATTAAATTGAAAACTTGCTAAAATTAGTTTAATGACAACTCTACTGGAAATCTGGATTGGACTCTTTTACCAGGGTTATAGCAAACAAGGAGCAATATTGCCTATTAATATTTTAAAGTCCCTTGTAGGAATACAGAACTTGCAATTATATATAGTTTGTCCAGCTTTATAGTAAAATGCTTAGAATGCCGAAATTGCCGAAAAATGTTCTGAGCGAACAAACATTTTTGTCCGTTGTTCCATCATAGACAAATGAAAATATAGACAACGAAATGCTCTCATCGTTTATCTTCGAAAAAAATCGAATCAGCAGATGTCGTTTATATCGTTTCAGAGGTTTGAGTGGGAATATTGAAGTCACTCAATTCTAAAACGTTAAAAATAACAAAAACTGTAGGATATTTGTAAGTTGAAAATTATTACATAATAAAAGAAATGTGAAAAGTACGTGATGACATCGAAAAATATAGGAATATTCCAGTGAAATTCTTGAAAAACGATAAAATGTGCTTTCGAAGTCGAGTGGCTTGAACGCGTAAATCAAAACATGATGAGAGCCACCTGGATAAAAAGACAAAACTAACTTTTCGTTGTCTATATCTTCATTTGTCTATGGTTCCATTCAAATCACTCTCAGAACTAAGATGAAATGAAATGAGAGAATTTATCGAAAAAATAAATTATGACATTAAAAAATTCAAAATAGAAAAATTTAATGAAATTTTAAAAAATTTTGGGAAGACTTAAAATTATGAATGAAAACTACAATGTTGAATGGCGTATGTACATTCAAACGAAAGTAAACTTTGTTTCCTCTCCCATCTGAGGTACGCATTTTGTCCACGAGTTCAAATTTCCAGAGAAAATTGGTAACAAAAGAGGCAACATTTTCAAAATGTTTGTATCGGCTGAAAAAATGTTTGACAAGGTTCTCTCCAACAAAATATTTGAAAAGAGGTATTACTTTACTATGAATCCCGAACGGGTTTATTCGTGTACCTAATTCTGAGAGCGAATAACATGATTGAAATTGCAATGAGAACATAGCATAAGTTTATGTTTAAATTGTAATTTATCAATACTTTTCCCAACATACCAAAAATACAATACAGCTTGAGAATAATATTATGAAAATAGTTTATCATAAGAATTTTTCAACAATGCTTGAGAAACACTTTTTTGCACAAACTTTTCTCAAATCTGTCCTTTGTTGACAAATTTGTTTTGTTTTTTTTTTGTGAAAATTGTCAAAAAATTATTTTCTTTGGTTAAAATCAAAATCACGCGAATTTAGGACCCATTTCCGGACGAAACTCTAAGGTAATGATGAATAATAAATCTGGGAATCTGTAGTATAAATTATTTCAATCTCATTTCAGAATGGAGGCGTCAAAAAGTTGCAGGAATTCAACAGAAGTGAATAATAAGTGGAGGAGATACAGAAGCTCAAATAAGGGGAAAGAAAGCATCTAGGTATCAAGGCAACAGGATGCAGTGACAGCTGGGATGGAAATCAATGAATGAAATGTGTAAAATAATTAAAAAATGAATAAATAAATATTTTTTACCATTGAAAAAATAAGCTTTATAAAATATTACTTTCGTAAGCTTATTCTGCAATTACAAGAATAAGCTTATGAATAAGGGTTCCTTTTCGATTATTCTATAATTGTTAAACAAACATTTCTCAATATATTCTCAAGATTTTCTCAAGCTTTAGGCTTATGTTTGTAAGCTTATTAAAATATTATTCTCAAGTCAATTTGGTATGTTGGGTTTCTAACTGTATTGAATAATATGTCACAAAACTAAAATACATTTAAATTAGTAGATTCAATAACATTTGCACATTGTCTACATATGAAAATACCAAATGGATAAAAAATGCTATTTTTATCGCATTTCGTACGATGTGGAGTTTTTATAAGCAACACTGAACTCAAAAAACCGAGCTAAGTAGCAGTCATGTTGCTTTTTTGATTCTGAGCTATTTTGATGCTAAGACTAATTTCATTTTAGCTTCAGCCGCTCACTGCTATTTTGTCTTTACTGACGATTTCAAGTAGCATTAGCTCTCTCAGCTAAATTTTTTTGTAATGTGTTGCTATTTATTGGCGCTGCTCATTGATGGGCTACATTTTGTGTAGATTTTTTAGCAGGCAATGCTGACAATTTTCGGTGCTATTGCTAATTTAAAGTTAGCATTTTAAACCCTGTTAATAGGAAATCACCAAAGTTCAATTAGAACCGCTGAAAATAGGATTGTGGATTTTCTGTTTTATCCCAAATTTGTCAAATATATTCCCCATTAACGTTGAAAATATGAATTTTTGTTTTTGAATTTTAAATATTTCCTCTACTATTGAAAAATAATAGTTAATAATAAGTACCTAAAAACTCATCTACTGGTTGGCAAATTCGTCCCGATCAAGTTTAACGTAGCTAGTAGCAGTGTTTGGCCTGATTGAATTTAAACCAATTATTTGCGAATTCATTATTTCATATAAGGTATGGTAAAAGTACCAGTTTATTATTTATTACATTACATTATTTATTTATTTATTACAATTCATTCATGTAATAAAAGCCTTTAAGGCCAAAAAACATTACATTGTAGTAAGTTCTGAGCAAACATTACATTGTAATAAGTTCTGAGCAAACTGAACATAGATTAAATGAAAGAGATTGGAGCATGGTTTTGAAAGTAAATTCAGGGACTTCAATCTTTTACGTTACTCAAGTCATTGTTAAAATCAGGATAAACCTCAACTTGTTGCATTTAGAGAGCTACTTGTTGCATCTAATTTTGAAAAATCTTGATAGAAAGTGGGGTGGATTAAAATTTGCGGAAAACCTGATATTCCAATCTGGTTTTTGTTGTTTTTAGTACAGAGTTAAATTTTTCCTAGTTTCTCTTAAGTTGAACAAACTTTCTGGTAGAGCTATACATGTATTCAACTCTTGTTGTGAAAAACGGCGAAGGCGTACGTCAGGTATTAAGTAGGGTGGTTATGTTTTCATAAATTGAAAATATGAATTGTATCAATGCAATACAGTAAGCTAATTTTTTATGAGATTGTCTACAAAGTTATCGGTAGAATTAACGACAATAGCTCAATTAAAAAATGTATGTTTTCAGTTGTTCATAATTTCGGTAATTGACGAAATAGATATACATATTCATATACATATACATATATATATATATATATATATATATATATATATATATATATATATATATATATATATATATATATATATATACTTTTTTTTTTTTTTTTTTTTTTTAAATGAGGTATTTAATTCACTTTTAAAAAACTAAAAATAAAAATACAAAAATAATTTTGAATGTAAAATAATATGAGAAAATCGAAAACGAACCAATTTTTGCTTGGTCACAACTAAAGAAACTTTTTGATTGTTTATTTTAAAATAATTAAATTTTGGCTAGCAGTCGATAGCACCCATTATTTTTTAATAGCAGCGCCACACCTACGATGCATTAAATCTATAACACGCTCAATTTGATCCTTGGGTATGCTTTCCCAGGCACCTTGAATATTTTGGAAAATGTTATGTTTATTTGTTTCTGAACCTCCCTTGATTTTCCTGTCTACGATACTCCAAAGGTTTTCTATGAGGCTTAGATCAGGTGATTGTGCCGGTCATGACAAAACACCAATTTTTGACTCCTGCAACAAATTTTTGACAAGGTTTGATGCATGATTGGGATCATTGTCATGCTGAACCACCCAAATTAGTCGAATATTTTCCGCAGCGGAAGGGAACAACGTGATGTCAAACACATCTTTGTAAACAAACCGATCCATAACTTCCTTTATTTCATGGATAGGCTCATGTCCATAGAAAAAAAAAAAAAAAACAGCGCCACACCAATTTCGACCCTCCCTCATGCTTTAGTGCACCTATGCAGCATTTGCGGCTTGAGTCTTTCGTTTTTTGGTCTTCTCACCTTAAAATTTTACATGTCTCAGCCTTTAATATTAAACGTAGGCTCATCCCAAAATAAAATGTTTTTCCATTGAACTGTATTCCAATTCATATTATCGTTTCCGAAAGGCATCCTGGTTTTCCGATTTTTCAGATATAAATGGCTTTTTTTTATGGCTTGCGGGCATGCAAACCAGCTGCTACTACTCCTCTACGTACTGATCTCGAGCTTATATCCAATGATAGCTCTCTCACCAATTCATTTGAACTCTTAAATGGTTGTTTTTTTTACTTCTCTCACAATTTGTTGATCAGTTCGGGCTGAAGTTTTTTACGGTCTTTATCCATTATAGACTGTTACTATTGATCCAGCTTCATAAAACCGACTTAGTATACGAAAAATCACAAAAATATTTATGTATATGTATTTATTTCTCGGAAATCATTTCCTGCGATCGCTTCTTTTCATAGACACTGATAATTCGCTGTTTTATTCATATACTGTATTTGCTTCTAGCCATTTTTAAACTTTTTTGGTCAAAACTTAAAAAAATGACACCAAACAGGTGCTGTTGTAAAAAACTTCTCAAAAATGAATTATGACAAGCGAAATTGTTGAAGGAAGCAAAAAACGTTAATATATTAGTAAAAACAACTGAAATTTCAGCGTTTATATGAATGTATAACAGAGTTGCTTTTGTTTGGTCCAAGCCAAAATCGGGTTAATTGACTTTACCATACATTATTTTTTATATAAAAATGAATTTTGGTTTTTTGTTTTAAGTTTTTAAAAAGTGAATCAAGTGTCTAATTTAAAACTAAAAAAAACGTTCTCATTTTCTTCATTTTTAAAAAAGTTACAGGACATTCATTCTCATATATATATATATATATATATATATATATATATATATATATATATATATATATATATATATATATATATATATATATATATTTATACATATATATATATATATATATATATATATATATAGGAAAAATAACAAAACATTTTTATTTTTAGTAGTTTTTAAATTAAATCAATTAATTATAACTAATATATTGACAAAGAGGATTTTTTATTGATTACAAACATCTACATTTATTTATATTATTTCTTAAATTTTCAATTATTGTAATAACAAATGGTTCTTTATTGATTTGATATTAAATGCTTCCATATTATTAAATTACAAATGCTTAACGCTAAAAAGAGAAATTTAAACAAATTTTGGCCTTTATAGGTATGGCCAGGACTGAAATGTGAAATTAAGCTTTACCACAATTTTTTATAGTTATAGTTATAGTATACTAATAGTCTTACCTAATAAAGGTTTCCTGCTTCGCAGCTTCATTGATTATAGAAATCATTAAATCATGGAAATCATTAAATCAACTATGATCATGATTGTATATACTTTATGGGGTCTACGACGAATATTTAGAGGTGTTACAAACCGAATGACAAATTTAATATATAATCCTTTCCATGGAGGAGATTATAAAAAGGTACCTAATTCGGGTCCTTTGAAAAAAATACCTTGAAAAACTTTTTTCAATCTTCCTGCATCTACACTTGTGTTTTATGGAAGCTTTAAGAAAAATTTTTATAAAAACATAGATATTAATAATCAATAAAAAATCCTTTATAACTATATATTAGTTATAATTAGTTGATTTAATTTTAAATCTACTAAAAATAAAAATGTTTTGTTATTTTTCCTTCTAAAAATCTAAAAGTTTCATTTGATTTGCAAAAAGTTTCATTTCGGTTGCAAAAGGTTTCATTTCGGTTGCAAAAGGTTTCATTCCCGCTGCAAAAGGTTTCATTTCCACTGCAAAAGGTTTCATTTCCACTGCAAAAGGTTTCAATTCCACTGCAAAAGGTTTCATTCCCGCTGCAAAAGTTTCATTTGAATTGCAAAAGGTTTCATTTAATCTGAAAATGCTATACATCCCATATTTCTGGTTGAGAGAAATATTCGATCCGATCTCTACCACCTTTATAAAAGATCTTGTGTTGATTGAAATATTAAAATGTACCAAGTCTAAATCGGATGTTAATTTCGTGTTTTATGAGCTTTATTCATATCTTCCAACATATTCCAACTTTACACCAGACCACGCATTAATAAAAATATTGTGATGTGTATAATTTAAAGACAATTTGACTTTTATAACATTTTTTATAAGAGTTATATAATTAATCAAAATCTTTTTCGCTTTGTTGGGGATCTACTTGATGGAGTGGACCGATATTGTCCATTTTCCCACCTGACTGATGCAAATATTAGGATTTGCGAAGTTGAAGCAAAATCAGTTTATCCTTTCTCTTTCGGTGCAGTAAAATATTTTTTTTTTTTTTTTTTTGAAAAATTATAAAGTTCTAAAAAAAATAACCAAATATTGTGCAGACTTTTCGGTCAATTGATTCATTGGATAAATATTGGAAGCGTTGTATAACACTTAAGAATTCATCTACGGGCATGTCATTGCAATATATTTATGTATGACATTTGCATTGACATTTCCATATACGTACTGCTCGGACTAATGCGCGACGTATAGCTGCACATTTTTCTAGTACTACTGCAGGATATAGCGATCCTTAATCAACTACTTGCAGTAAGTTTGTAGTTGAATAAGGAACATGAATAACGAATTATTATAAGTATTATTTCATCCAATTCGTGTTGTTGGTAGCTTTCACAAGGTTGATTGTGTCTTGTTGACGTAGTATTTGTGTATACAAATTACTCGTATCTTTTCTGTCACCATATACCAAATATGTATCATTAATGTGGTCGGATTTTATAATTTATTTTATATTTCACATACTAAGAGAAAACTCTTGTACTTATTGACTTTTTATTGACGTCGTTTTTGAAAATGCTATCATTGGTGCAAAGTTTTAGTGTTAATTTGGCCTAATTGACCACTTGAAATCAATTTAGTGGTTTATTCCATTGCATGCGATGGATATTTAGGGGATGGTAATACTTAGGCAGGATATTTCATCTTTGTTTTGCCTTTCACCATTCCATGTTACTGACTATTTGTTTGTATAATTTTTATCAGGTATTAAATGTCCGGTGTGTAACAAATTCGTTTTGCCCGATGATATTGAATGCCACTTGGTAATGTGCCTGACAAAACCACGACTCTCCTACAACGGTAATTTGATTACAGCGCTATTAAAAATTTACATAAAATCTTAATAAAATATTTGTATTTCAGAGGATGTTTTGGCGGACGCCAAGGGCGAATGTGTTATTTGCTTAGAAGATTTAAATCCTGGTGATATAATTGCGCGCTTGCCATGTCTTTGTATTTATCATAAATGGTAAGTTATAATCAGTTTTTTTCTTCTCTAAACAATAACATAATTGATTGATGATTATTTTCTTTGAAGCTGCATTGATCGGTGGTTTGAAGTAAATCGCTCCTGTCCAGAGCATCCTGGTGACTAGTTAAAACTCAGTATGTAATTAAATAACTTTTCTATTTTAGTATAATATAATAATTATATAAACTGCAAAAATACCGATATGATAAACGATTATTTAGTTATAGATTTATATAAACAACATAAAACAAAAGCAAAACTCTCAAAAATAAACGTTTTTAAAACAACAATAACACAACTATATATAAAATCAAGATATGTAAGAGTAAAGCAAAGTGAATGTGAAAAATTATAAAGTTCTAAAAAAAAAATAACCAAATATTGTGCAGACTTTTCGGTCAATTGATTCATTGGACAAATATTGGAAACGTTGTATAACACTTAAGAATTCATCTACGGGCATGTCATTGCAATATATTTATGTATGTTTATTGCATTGACATTTCCATATACGTACTGCTCGGACTAATACGCGACGTATAGCTGCACATTTTTCTAGTACTACTGCAGGATATAGCGATCCTTAATCAACTACTTGCAGTAAGTTTGTAGTTGAATAAGGAACATGAATAACGAACATCTCGCGTCGTCTCGTCTCTTCTGTATGCAACAATTATATTTGTACTTCACAATCGGCAGCCGATAACAGAAATAACATCATTATATACTATATTGATAGTAAAATGTATAATTAAGAGATTAGTTGTTAACGCATTTTGTACTGTGACATAAGATAAGAAAACAAAACCTAATTATGATGTTGTATTCTTGTGTATTTATCTGTATCTGTTTTTATTTCTTTAATTGTGATTTTAATTAAATTAAAAAAAAATAATAATTAAAAATCCCAGTCATTGCATGGACTACACAAACAATTTATAAAAATACCAAAATATTGCGTTTCTTTTCGGTGACCCAATTTCTCCAAATGAATATAGCTAATACCATGGTACAATATTTACGAAGTAGGGCAGGTTGATAAAATTTTAATTTAATTTTAACAAATGCAACAAGTTATTTTTTTTATTTGACAATTTTCTCACAATATTTTAATTTAAGAGAAAATCGTGAAAAATGAATGGAACTCCGTGAATTTTTCACAACATTGAGTTCCTAATACAATTGCAACATTAGCCATCCCCAAAAGCCAGCCATCCCCATTAGCCATTAGCCATTCCCAAAAGCCAGTAAGACCCTTCTGACGACCAAGTTATCTGTCAAAATATATTTTGAATTCGCCCTATGAATACAAAAACAAAATTGTAACGTTCTTGTCAAAAGATTTCGAAATAATTTAAATTATTAAAGGAATTGGGAGACAAATCTATATAAAATATAAATAAACAGGAAAATTTGTGAATTTGAAAATGAGAATTTGCCAAAAATGCAGAAAGAAGCTGGTTCCAGGAAGGGGTACATTTTGTTCGGTTCCAAAGGATGAAGTGTCGAGGGTAGAATGAAGTAACGTTTGCCAAGTGGAATTTAAAGCAACGTCTTCTCTATGCTCTGAACACTTCGGCTTTGCTCATGTGGTGAATTTGAATTTCAATAGAATTTCAACAATATTCGAAATTAGTATGTTTCTTATTCAATACTTACATGTACAAAAACTGTATATTTCGGTATTACAAAACTACCAAAAGGAAAAAAATATATTCAGGTGATTGCTATGCCATACCATGGTAGAATTAAGAAGGTAAAATCATGCAATCATATGTTTACAATTTTTTCAAATTATTCATTTGACAACATCTCATTGTCAAAATTTATATTTATGAATCCATCGTATACACAGAAATCAGAGATGGGAAGCGGTTTTTATTCAGTGAAATTTGACAAAATAAATTACAGAAAATGCAGAGATGGATTGTCTTATTTGAAATGACTTTAACTTCTTAATTTTACCATGTGCCCTACTTATAAATTATTGAAACAAGCCAATAAAATTAATTTATTATTGTCTTTATCTCAACGAGATATTGTAGTATTGATTTCGTATTCTCATTCCTGTTTTTAATTTATTTGAAAATGTAGACATTAAAAATATATGTTTGTATTTTCCTCTTTTCAAATTCAACCGCAGAGGTGATTGTTAAAATTATTTTTGCCTAAACACAATTTCAAAAATTAATGTCTTTCTTATACATTGGTTTCGGTGGAAATTCCAACTCGCGAAGAAAAGATAAAAGATTTCGAAATGTACTTTCGTTTCATAAGAGCAAGAAACTGCAACTGTGTACTAGACAAATTCGGAATTGTCTCTTAGAAGAAAAGGATAAAATCCAAAAAAATCGCGTAAAAATTATCAATTTGAATTAATGTTTTATTTTGCATGATTTTTTCTCATTTTGACTTATTATTTTCGAACGTACATTGGTGTTGTTTTTTTCTTTTTGAATTCTAATATGATGTGTAGTCTTTTTTGGGTAGTATAAAGCGACAACGGACGAAACTGTTAATTACAGATTTTATGTATTTATTGGGTAAATGGAACTACGTGAATTATATAATTCCAGAAAGGGATATGATATGAAAAAAAATTAACATCTTATATGTTACCGTGTACGAACCGTTCGGGTTATTATATACAGATTGCTGTTATCGTCCGATCCTCACGAAAATTTTCGCAAGGGTGGGGTTAGGCTCAGAAGTGCTAGGCCTATTGTTTTCAAAGATGTCCGCAATATATTTAGGGGTTGAAATGGACCAACAACTAAAAATGTTCCTGATTTTGCAGCCGTTATGAAGGTCACAAATAGAAACAAAGGACACGAAATCTCGCACGAAGTTAGAGTTTAGGACTGCGGGAAGAATGGACCACTACTTTTGTGTAAAAAAATACCAATATTACTTACAGGCGATATCCGACACATACAAAAGGCGAACTTCTGGCTTTTTTATGCTGATTTCGTTGACGAATATAGCCAAATATCGTAAACAAGCAAATCATATAGATGAGTCTAAATTTGGAGATACAGATAGGCCTCTTGCTTTTAGAGATGGCAAAATATTTAGTTCAATTGAACCAAAAACAGAAAAATTTTCCTTATCACACAATTTAAACCATTCGACAAGGAATTTTGCATGAGATTTAAGGTCAGGAAAGAGTTCTAGCATTTTGGATGACCATTGGATTATATTTAGCTGTTAAATGGACCACAATAACTAACAGCACCACGAAGTGCGTAAATATTGGTCAATTGGGCAATGCTCTATGACATAATTTCAAAAGCGAAATCTTCCAAAATGGATTTGGACATAAGGGGCTTTTAGTATATTGTAGTGTTGTAGGGTATCACATGTTCCGCCCCGCACGACTATAGCCTTTGCTTACTTGTTTATATTAATCATATAATAGTAAAAGAAAACGTATTTTCGAATAATAATGGATATATATAAATATTTGGCTATTTCCAGGGTCTTGGTCACAGTTTTCAATTGGCTTGGCCCTTATTTGACATCAATTTTTCGAAGTAGCACCCATATAAAGGCATCTCCTGAATTTACCTATTTTGATGGTCTCGACCACATTTTCCAATCGATTCGGTTAAAACCTGTAGTTAGGCTACTTTGGTAGTAGAGAACAATCTTACAGAAAAAATTCAATATATGTACATATTTTGTTATGGCCCCATATAACAATACCTCCCAGGTCCACCGATAGTGATGTCTACCGATTGGCAGACAAACGAGCATACAAAAACATAGACGTCATATGGACACTAACGAACAATTTGAGGTGTTATTCTAAGGATTGTAAAAAGGTAATTAACTTTGACTATTCTCAAGTCATTCTACCCTTAATTATAAGGTAGACAAAACTAAATGGCACCCATCAAATGACACGTATTTCTAAACGATTCAAATTCCAAATTACAGCTCACTCCAATGATTTTAGGTTTATAACTCTCAAATTAAAGCCTATGGCTGAATGTTTTTGAAACACTTCAAATCGAACGTTAAGTGAACATGCATTAAAAATTTTGTCATGGGTAGTTAGTTCTATTTAGTCAAGTCATTATTTATAATACAAATTATGCCACTTATATGAGCCAGATTTGTGAATTATTATTTTGTGAATTATTATATTATTAGTCAAGTCATTATTTATAATACAAATTATGCCACTTATATGAGCCAGATTTGTGAATTATTATGCCGGCAACGCTGACCGGGCCAGGTAGTGTAATATATTTAGAAACAAAGATAACAAAAAGGAATTCTTTGTTTAAAATTAATAGGATAGATTCATTAAGAGGGGGTGTATGGAAAGAAAAACGAGCATTTGCTCACATTTTGGAGCGTTAAAAATACAATCAATTGTCATATTTAGTGTCTTTGGAAAGTTAGGCTCATTTGACATGGCAACAGGAATTGGTTCCTCAATCTTCGTAAATATATTTGGAAAATTTAACTCACTCGAATAAGTAATTAGAATATTTTTTGATTACTTTTCTTTTTTAATATATTTGGGATTTATTCTCTTTCAGCATAACTATTCAATAACTTTTATCGGTTGAAAAGTTGTTAAAATTTTTTTGTTTCTATAATTGAATGAAAAGTATTGCTTTTTGCATTATTTTGCAACTGCATCCTAACGGACAAAAAATTGGCTGTAAAACTAGAGTAGCATACCAAATAGCAATACTAAATTCCTTCAATGGTTTGTGGACGTGGACTGATGTGACGTTCAGAATAAAGCTTCGTTTTTCTAATCTATTCAATTTACGATGTATCGATTTTAGAATTTGACACTTTGCATATATTTTGTATTTTGTTTTGCAATACGATACTTAAAGGTAACAAGGCATCGTGTCACTTTGTAATATATAGGTAAATATATTTTCTTTTTTCGCGCCAACGCGTGATATGAAAAATCTTATATAGCCCATCCTGCTATTCCCTTAGTTCATATAAAAGCAAATGACATTAGAAATTAGAATGACATATTTCAGGCCGCCTCTGAAGCACAAACAACAACAAAATACTCATTTATGTTTATTTATTTAATCGTTTAACATTTCGAAATTTGATTTAATATTACAGTTCTTTACTATGCTGTGTTGCTCCTATGACACCACCATCTCGATTTCTATAACTACACATTATTTCCTGTACCACATCTGTAGTGTTTTCATACGCTTGACTTTCTTTTGCAATTGAAGAACTCCGTACATTAAGGCTTCAGCAGTTGGTGGACAACCTGGCACATAAATATCGACGGGTATAATACGATCACATCCGCGCACTACTGAGTATGAGTAATGGTAATAACCTCCGCCATTGGCACAGCTTCCCATTGAAATTACCCAACGGGGTTCGGGCATTTGGTCGTAGACCTTGCGCAAAGCTGGGGCCATTTTGTTTGTTAAAGTACCAGCTACAATAATAACATCGGCCTGACGAGGAGATGCTCGGAAGACAACACCGTAGCGATCCATGTCGTAACGAGGTGCAGCAATGTGCATCATTTCGACAGCGCAGCAGGCTAAGCCAAACGTTAATGGCCAAATAGAGCCTTTACGCCCCCAATTGAGTAAGTCATCTAACCGAGCCAAGGACCATTCCGCCATGCTGGATTGTTTGGTACCGAATGGACTGTAACCTTTCTTGGGCAAGGGATTGCTCGAGTCCACAACTGGCATCGTTTGTTGTTGACGCACCATCAGTGTGTTTGTTGCTGGCCCAAATGCTCCGGCAGACATGCCGGAAGGAAGTCGCGCGGCCAAAAGCTTTGGTGCATTATTTGCAAAAAGCGACGCAGCGGATCGCAGCATTTTTCTGGAATAAATGAAATGTAAAATTCTAAATAATACAATTAGCAAAATATTTTCGCCAAACCTCTTTATGTAATTCTCTGCCCAGCACAAAAATTAAACGTCAAATTTGACAAACATATGAATTCACTATGACTTTTCGATAGAATCTTTCGATAATATTTTTGTGTTGGTAAGTTATCGATTTTTCGCTCTCGATAAAAATAAAAGGCAAATTTAATAGCATGTTTCCATTGGAAACCGAACAACGTTGTTCGCTCTCAGAATTAGGTACACGAATTAACCCGTTCATACGGCACGATTCGTAATTTATAGTAAAGTAATTCCTTTTTTCAAAAATTTTGTTTGTGGATTTTAATGGGAATTTATACGAAAATACATGAAATTCTCACTAATATGAATAGAAGAAATTATTGTTTTCCTCCCAAAGATTTATTATATCATTAATTTTACAATTTTCATTCAAGTTTTCAGCTTTTTGTGTAAATGTTGACATTTTGAACAAATTTTTGTGTTTTTCCATTTTTAATTTCTGCTGGAGAGACACTTGTCAAACATTTTTTCTGCCGATAGAAACATTTTGAAAATATTGCCTCTTTTGTTTGCAGTTGTCTGTGGAAAATTTAACTCGTGGACCAAATGCGTACCTCGAATGAGAGAGAAAACAAAATTTCCTTTCGTTTGAATGTACATACGCCATTCAACATTGTAGTTTTCATTCATAATTTTCAGTCTTCCCAAAAATTTTTAAATTTCATCAATTTTTTCTATTTTTAATTGTTAAATGTCATAATTTATTTTTTCGATAAATGCCCTCATTTGTTAGGGATGGGACATATTTTTTCGTTGTTCTGAGAGTGATTTGATTTGAACAACTTACAAATATGAGTGTTCGCTCAGGAAATTTTGTGTGAAGAATTATTTAGTTTTTTCATAGTTAAGGGTCGAACAACGAATAGAGAGCGAATCAAGTGCAGTGGAAACGCCACATAAGACTTTTAGATATTTTTACATTTTCAACCAGAATACCCTCTTTTACTTGTAAGATGCAAATACATTGAAGACATTTTTTACTGGTTAAGTCATCGGCTGTTCTTTTCTTTAAAAGAAACATAAACAAGACAAGTACAGGAATGAAAAACTAGCAAAAACACGAAGAACTACTAGATAATATATATTTTTTATTTACATAACATTTCGTTTTTTTTTTTTGATAATGGCATATGTTTTACTCGTGGTAAAATTAAGAAGGTAAAACCATTTTAAATAATAATATCCATATATGTATTTTCTGTAATTTACCTTGTCACTTTTCACTACACTATAAACAGTTTCCCATCTCTGATTTGTGTATATACAATGGATTTATAAATACCAATTTTGACAATGACATGTTGTCAAATGAATAATTTTGAAAAAAAAGTGATTGCATTTACATCCTTAATTCTAACATGGTTTTACTATAAAGAGTTAAGGAACAATTTTAATTTTCTAGTTAGTTATGATACCATATTTGGTCAGCTGCAAAACTGCAAGAATGTACAAATTTTTACTACGATAACCTAGTTCACTTTATGATATAAAAAATCTAAAACTTGTAGATAGCTCTTGTAGTTCTGGAACAGAAATATTGTTTTTATTATTAAACGGGTCAATAAGAAAAGTTACTCAACTTCTAAGAAACAAGTATAATACAACTCTGCACCGGAGTCTTTTTATTATATTGGGGAAAACCCACAAAATACAATTCATAATAATTATGTGGCCGATGTCAGTTTCTTGTTTTCCTTGTTTAATCCATGGTAGAATTAAGAAGGTAGAGTCATATGCAATCATATGTTTACATTTTTTATTTTCAAAATTATTCATTTGACAATATTTCCTAGTCAATTTTGCGCTGGCAGTATACTTGTATGTTAGACAATGTGAAGCGAATATACGCACAAATTTGGGTTCCACTTTTACTGGGTAAATTTGGCCGTGTTAAAAATTTAACATGGTTGTCTACCTGATTGGCTGTTAATTTAAACTGTTCCAGAACAGAATGTAAAAAAATAGCAAAACTAGTAGATTCTTGCTGGTGCTGCAACAGGCAATTGTGTCTCATGGTAGAATTATTAGAAGGTAGAACACAAACTACGGAAATACACACAACAATCACACAGAAAATGTTAAACCAATAAAAAATAAAACTAATTTTCAATAAATTATTTTAACTTCAAAAATTTACATATTATGAAATTTGGGTTATTACATTTTAAATGTTGCTCTGCATTTAAATGTTTCATTTGAATTTATTTTTAATATTATTTGAATATATGATAGATGAGTTCCAAAACATGTATTAGAATGTTTTTTTAACACGTGTATTCATTTCATTGTATTTTTCCCGTTTTATAATTTCTTTTACCACAATTTCACATTCATATAAAGTTGTTGGTAATCCACCCATTTTCCTGTGAGAAGATAAACTCGAATGTGGATTTTTTGTCAGTTAGGATGTACAATTTTTCTCCGGGAAAACTTTTTGCACATTTGAACTTCACTTTGGATTTATTGGGTGTATATTCGACCAAGACAATATCTAGAGAATTTTATTTAAACTTGCTGTGTCCAAAGTCATCTTATGTGTTTGGATACACTCTTAGGAGGACAAATGCCGCCCTGCTGATGTTTGTTTACGTATACATACACAACCAAAAGAAAATGCGCGAAAATATCCAAAATAATTTGGCTAAGCAGCTTTTATGGATACGTTCGGTGTTTAAAAATAAGAGCTTTTCTTCAATCGTGCTGCGAAGTGAACCAATATTTTACATCATTTCCATAATTTCAAAGACTTTTGTGTTTCGTAGAACTACTATTTTAATGTTGCTCGTAATACCTCCCACATTTTCGGGAATATTGAAAGATACAAAAATTATGCACACATCAACAAAAACACTACCAAATTTTCGCATCCCAACTAAGGATTTTATTATCAGACAATTGCTTCGAAAAATATATGTGAATATAATTAAATCTACCACCATGTACGACGAACTGTCATAATTTTTCTATTAGAATTGGACGCGTAAACTTTATGTTGCACAAAAATTAAAGCAATCCAAATATTAATATACTGTTTACATTTTTTTTTGAAATTATATTTGTTTCTTAAGCCACATCCAAAAAGTTTAAACAATGAACAAAGTCAATTTAGAAAAATGTGACGATTGTTGAAACATTAGAGTGCAACAATGACATCTGGAGATTGACTGTTAAGATTAAAATAAAAAAAAAAACTACGACAGACAACTTAACTAAATAAATCTAGATGCAGTCAATGCAGTATAAATGTAACGCTTATTTGACTTCTTCTGTGGTTGAGGTCGTATTGCGTTTCCTAATCGTTTCATCGGATGAGGCTGAAGCAGCTGTTTCCTTAGAGTCACTTGAGGCTGCAGTAATGTAGGATGAAACATCGCTGGCTTTAGAATCCTTATCGGTGTCTTCTTCCTCATCTTCGTAGTTGGTTGGTTGTTCTCCTTTGCGCAACAGCTTTCCAACAAGGTCATATTTTTCTATATAGCAGAACATTCAAATTAAAAAAAAGAAAAAAACATTTAGAGCGCTGTTTTTGTTTTAGCTCCCACATTCGGATCATCATTGAGAAACAAGCCCTAAATTGTATTTACCTTTAAACTGCATTTCCCATTCTAGTACTGAATCCATTTCCATAGCACTTAAATCACTCAAGTCATCGTATTCATCCTTATCATTTGCAGCTACGCTAAAAGTAGCCAAATTCCGGGAAGCATCACGGCCTGCAAATGATGCATAGGGACCCCCTAGAATAAAAATAATAATTATTCTTTCATGTTAAATGTGTAAAATAATAATTTTAGGGAAAGCCATGTGATTATACAACAAAAATAAAGCTATTTTGACAAATTGCCACTTTTTATTTTTGGAATTTTACGGGAGTGCCAAGTTTTAAATTTTTTGTGATCCGATTAATTTGGATGATTCCAATATGGGTATGTACGTTCTAGCTCTTTCGCCGAATGACTATGTGTTTATACGACATGCCTAATACATTCTGTCATTAGTATTCAAATATATGCAAGGAATTTGAAATGAAATAAACGAGTCTCTGAGTCTCCAATAACAAATATCCTTTGTAAGAAATATTTGGATCGGATTACGTTAGCGAGGTCTTGCACACTATTAAACATTTGAATCACAAATTTAACGTTAAATTTAATTGAATTTCATGTCATTTGCATTACAATACACATCACATTATAAATCTAAGGAAATGCTTTTCGATATCGTCATATTTAACAGATTTCTATTTTAATTGTATGGAGATGCAAACAAGTTGTCCAAAATGAATAAAATTATAACGGAAAACGGGCCCAAGTGTGTGCAACGAAGCAACATTAACCTTTAATTTGGACGTTTAATTAGTAAAAAATTCAAATGCGCTTTCAACATTCCCTGTAGATAATTCTTAAATTATTATTGGTCGTATGTAACTCCAAAAAAGAACGTCAATGTAGGTGACTCTATCAGACGTCTGAGTGTTTATTTTCTAAGATAAGAAAATAAAAAATAGAAGAAGAATGCCGAATGTTCTTTCTCTCCTCACAACTTTACAAAAACCAATTGTATGCATACAAAATACACACAATTCGGCATGTATGTGAGTGTGATTAAGATGATGGTGTAATTCGATTGTTTTTTGGTTTTTGCATTACCTGGTCCATAAAATCGTTTGCCTCTGGTCACGTCGAAAACATTACCGTTGACAGCAATAAGAACTCTGCCATCTGGGCCGGTGCCATCATACTGTCTCAACTCAGCAACTGTGAAATCTCGGCGTAGTTTTGGTAATTCTGGTTCTGGAGGTTTTTGAGATCCCACACTTGGCACTTCTATGCGGTCCTTAATTATTTTGTAAACTAAAAATGCAATAATGGCCACCAATGCGAGATTCATTGGGCTGTAGAATATTTCCTGGACAATTGACATGAACATGGAGGCGGGAGGGGATGCCTCACTTGTTTGATCCATTGCATCAGCCGTCATTTTTTAATAACTATACGGGCCCCTATGTAGATAAGTTAATTCTTTATCTTCTTTTTAATGGAAGCAATCCCGTATGTCCTCCTCTTGTTATTAAGTGGAGACCCCTCGAACTTTGATCTTTGTCTCTTGCTTGTCGTCACACAGCTCCCTTCGTGACAATATTGTTCGTAATTCTTCAGTGCCGGTGTTACCTTCTAAGTTGGCGTTTTGTACGTTTGTCCCTAACCACGCGAACAAAAACGAAATATTCGATTAATACGAAATAGAACGAAGAAAATTAACTTGAGAAAATGCAACTTGTATCGCCAGCCACCAGTGATGATAAATGGTCGATAACTTATGTAGAGAGAGTTGCCAGTTTCAGGGAAATGGCAGCACTGATCAAACAATAACTTTGTTCGACAACACAATTTCTTTTTTTGTAGCAAATGTTCTCTTTTCTTTCATTGACGAAAAACAATCGATTTATTTACATTTTCAGTTTTGCCATTTAATTTAATTCAATTTTTTAGACGAGGTTGCTGACATGAAAATTGTCGTGAAAGGAACAGCTAAAGAAAAGCTATCACACACTCGTAACTACTCGACGAGTCTTTATTTTTGATTTGTATTTTTGGTTTTGTAACTCGAAGTAGGAACGACAACGTTGGAGAAAAACGGTCAGTGAAACCATGGTACAATACGGAGGCAGAACAGCTTCGTTAAACTACAGAAAAGCAGCCCTGAGGCAATGCCCGCTGTCTGCCAGACTCATTCAAAAATTTTGTTGTTTTCATTTTTTAATATTTTTCCCCATTTTTGAAATGAGTCAAATAGCGCGAAAATGAATGAAATGCTTGCATTTTCTTACAAAAATATGATCCAAACTGTTGAATCTTTTAATTGTATGGCTAAACTGGCTTAATACATGTCTTCCAATCAATGGTTTTGAAAATATTTCATTTTGTTTTTCAAAACAATAAATACATACACCCATGGTACAATGAAGAGAAGGTAGGTCAACTTTGAAAAAATTGCAAGTATAGAGGTCTACCTGTTTGGCTTGTAATGTCATAATTAGTATCAAAACAATAAAAAATCAAACAACTTGTTGCATTTATTCAAAAACCGCGATAACTAAATGAAAGGTCAACAATTCTTTTCAAAATCATATACTATATATCTCTAAAGGATTATTTCACTACAAAAACTCTAGATTTTATCGATGCATACGTTGAAATAAACATTTTGAAAACACCCGAATTTGGATGTTTTCTGAACAATTTTTTTGTTATTGAAAAGAAAACTCATACATAAACAAATAAAGATGACATATTAAGCCAAGAAAATAAAAAAATTAAAATCATATGGTATCATAGCCCTACCTTGATATCATTGTACCATGAGTTATAGTACGTTTATATATATGAGGGTTAACCCACTGGATTTGGATTTAAATTGTCATATCCATTACTTTTACTTCAAATAAATCCTCTCAAAGTAGGTTAACCCTACAAAAAGTTCTAACGTAAACATGGCATTAAACTATGAATACATAGCAGTGTTGCCACTTCATGTGCAATTTAACATATAGTGTGTATTTTTTCGTTGTATGTGGAACCCTTGTTATTTTGTCAAAGTTTTATAACACTTTCTTTAGCCTTTAAAATAATTTCAAAACAATTTTATTTACGAAAGCGTGACATGTAATAATTATGGAAGCACATAGGAATTCTATCTTTTTTGTTATATATGATATGTATTAAAGCTTGTTTTTTGTGCTATATAATAATTTTTTATTAAAAGTCTTGATCCATGCGTAATTCTTCCCAAAATGTGTAATATTTCTATCGCTTGTTTGTAATATGTAGTTTCAACAAGTTGTTTTCTTTACTATATTTTTTAATAAATTAAGAGAAAAAAATAGCCAAAGTCGTTAAAAATGTTCAATTTTTACAGCTGCGAAAAGAACACATAACACAAACATATGTTAATTTGAAGAATAAGCCGTATAAATTTAAAATTGGAGTTGGTCTGTAGCTATGGCTTACCTTTTTCATTGTGCCATGGAAGACACTTGGTACAATAGCAGAAGGTAGAAAAAAGCTATCTCTTGAATACAATGTTTTATTTTAGTGTCCATATTCTGCCAGAACATATACACATTTGTGTTGGATAATATCATTCAGCTCTGCATTTACCTTATTCAATTTAAAGGTAAGCTTTTGGCACAATTTCATACGATATATTGAGTAATTTTAATCTAAAACAGAAAACAAAGACATGGACGTTATAAGTCATCTAAGACTTTATTATGGAATGGTTGACTTTTGCTTGAAAGTATAATTTGGATGAGCTAAAGGAAGTATGGAGATCGAATTGGCCTCAAGTTCATTGCGGACAATTGTCAGCATAAGATGTCGTTTTATATAGAATATAGAATCATTTAAAAAGTACAGAAGAACCAACAGCATCAAAAATGTTTCGCCAAGATGAAGGGTTTAGAAATCTCTATTTTTATAATAATGTAATCATATATTTACAGAATCTGCAAATATGTGACCACTTATTTGAAATGACTTTACCTTCTTAATGTTACCATGTGTTTAAGCTTAAAAGAAAATAAATGAAGCCCTTTTACTGAAATATTGCGTATATAAATGTGTGTATACTCTTGCATAAATGATTATGGAACTAATTTTTAAATTATTTGAAAATGATATATGAGTCCAATATATAGTTCCATTACCAATTTGGCAAGTTAGATTACCTTTATAATTGTGCCATGGAGTCGGAGTAAACATAACAAAAATAATAAATCGCGTAAGCAATGTACAGTAACATTTATATATATATACTAGCTGAACTCGGTGCGCTTCGCTACCCCTTTTGATTTTATATCCATTCAAAATTTTATTTACGAATATATGTTGGATAAAAAAAAACAAATTTAAAAATGAAAAAAAAAAATATTGCACTACTTTAATGCGTTAATAAACAAAACCATTAGGAAAGCAGTAACATGACATGCATACACGAAGGGTTTGTCCTTTGGATTTATTTATTTCATAGCAAATACCAAGCGTGCAGTGGCCAAGTTGAGTGGCATTTCTATTCCAATTAGTGAATTCGAGGTAGCAACATACTTCCCCGTAATAAGCATATTTCAAATAAATTGTTGTGTTGTTTTTTAGTGTTAGCCTAAGGCGTTGTGGGTTAATGGTTCTTATTAAAATCATATCCCAATCTGATCCGATTTATATATAATTTTAAAAAAATTACTTTTACACTAAATTCCGCCACAACTTTCATATTTCATTGAAATTGGTGCGTCAAATATGTGAGCTATATCCAAATGTGAACCGATTTTAATATAATTTTACTAATTTATTTTCTAATCAAAATCCCGTCACATATTCCAATTTTTTTTGGAATCGAACATACATATCCTGTATGGTGCATAAAATACATGAAATCGGTCGAAAATATATATGAGAGCTAATCCAAATCTGAACCGATTTTAATATAATTTGACTAATTTATTTTCTAATCAAAATCCCGTCACACATTCCCAATTTCATTGGAATCGAACGTACATATCGTGTTTGGTGCATCAAATAAACGAAATCGGCTGAAGATATATATGGGAGCTATATCCAAATCTGAACCGATTTCAATATAATTTGACAAATGTATATTCGTTTTAATTTCCGTTACACATTCCAAATTTCACGGAAATTAAAGATACATAGCGTTCTTGGTGCATCAAATACATGAAAGCGGTCGAAAATATATATGGGAGCTATATCCAAATCTGAACCGATTTCAATATAATTTGACAAATTCATTTTTGCTCCCAATTTCGTTTCTTATTTTAAATTTCATTAAAATTGGACATACATATCGTGTTTGGTGCACCAAATACATGAAATCGGCCGAAAATGTATATGGGAGCTATATCCAAATCTGAACCGATTTTAATATAAATTGATAAATTTATTTTCGGATCAAATCCCGGTAAACATTCAAAATTTCATTGGAATCGAACATTCATATCGTGTTTGAGGCATCAAATGAACGAAATCGGCCGAAAATATATATGGAAGCTATATCCAAATCTGAACCGATTTCAATATAATTTGGGAAATCAATTTTTTAGATAAAATCCATCACACGTTTCAAATTTCATTGAAATTTGGGATACATAGCGTGTTTGCTGCATCAAAAGCTTGAAATCGGTCGAAAATATATATGGGAGCTATATCCAAATCTGAACCGATTTCAATATAATTTGGCAAATTTATTTTTGTTCCAAATTCCGTTACGCATTCCAAATTTGGAGACTGTATTTGTAATCGATCAATAGATATGTGCCTACAAAATCTAATTTTTTGGGAGGTACCTCCGATTCTGATGCTATATCTCCACTTCCAAGTGTAATTTCAAAAATGTATATAGCCTATGTTACTTTCAGGCGATGTTGCAGTATACATGCAAATTTTCAGGAAGATCTGTTCAGCGGTTTTCGAGTCCATAAATTACAAACAAACAAACAAACAAATATATATATATATATATATATATATGTTCAGCGGTTTTCGAGTCCATAAATTACAAACAAACATATATATATATATATATATATATATATATATATATATATATATATATATATATGTATATATATATATATATATATATATATATATATATATATATATATATATATATGTATGCAATATTTGAAATGAGGTTAGCTTGAATTTTTGATTTCCAATGATTTGACAGTTCATTGATGTTTTGACATTTCATTTGACATATCAATGTCAAACGTTGATGCATCTACCTATATTCTTCTACCATGAGTGGTACTGAGAACAAGATGGTCATTTAGATCTTTAGCGGTACTTGGCCGAAATAACTAAATGAGTCATATAAACTTGACAACATTTGGGCTACACTGTAGCCATGTGCATACCTACAAAACTCCGATTGTATTCGAATTTACATACATGCCTCCCTAGGTACATGGCGAACAATTTGCATAAAAAAGATCAATAAATGTGATGACATGTTCTGTTGATCTGTCATAACTTTGGCAAAGCTCCCGTCAATTGAAACAGAATAAGCTCAAAGCAATGGCAGAAAGATATGATCGAGATTTTAACTCGTACTCGTGTATTGTGTGACCACGCGTTTAAATGATTAGTTCTTACTTTGTTGTGTGTATATTCTTAACAAATGTGGTTGATGTGATTACATACCGGAGTATCGGACAAGAGAAACAGTACAGAGCAATACGCAGGCGTAAACAAACACCCGTCAATTAATGTGATTTTCAAAAATAAAT